ATTTTTGCTTGTCACAAGGTGCCACCACCGCATTTGTCACAGGACTTCAGAGGCATGCAGGTTGACTTGCGAGTTGACCGGTGTGTTCTTTGGCTCCCTCAGGGAACAGGAAACACTGTGCACCTTGCTGATCAAAGGCCCGACCATGGCGCGCGGAAGAGTGATCATGGCCTGTGCGGCGCTGGCCTGCACATTGGTCAGCATGAAGTCTGCCTTCACTCCATCCCTGCCGGGCAACATGGGCATGGCCACTGCTGGTCGAGGGATGGAAGCAAAGCAGCGCACGCTCACGCAGCGAAATGCTGACGGCTCAATGCTGAAGCCATTTGGCCCAGTTGTGACCTATGCCAAGGCACTCATGGATGCAGCCCGTGAGAAAGACGAAGATGTCGCTGTCACAGAGGATGTGCTGATGATCAAGGACAAGTTCAAGGAGGAGGAGTGGCTGGACAAGCTGGTGACTGTGCAGAATGATCCTTACCTAACTGAAGTGCAGAAGGCCAACAAGATCGTGGACCTCTTGAAGCCCTTGAAGTCCACTGTGATGCCCAAGTTCATCGTCTTTTTGGCCAAGAAGAATCGATTGAACGGTATCAAGGTGATCATGTTTGAATACGTGCAGAGCATGTACTACCTCCAATCCATCACTCCTGTGCGAGTGACTTCCGCACAGCGCTTGACAGAGGATCAGCTGGCAAAGATCAAGGAGAAGATGAAGAGCAAATGTGGCACCAGAGACGTGAAGTTGGTGGCAGAAGTGGACCCCAACCTCATTGGCGGCCTGACCCTGGAGTGGGGTTACACCGATCCAGTTCAACTCTACGCTCCTACTCACGGCGTGGACCTCTCACTCAAGAGCATTCTCAACAAGAGGGCCCTTCAGAAGGGCGTGGTGGATGCACTCTGAGCCGAGCAGTGCCTGGAGCCTGGGCGCAAAGACTGAAGCCTCGGTTTTTGAATACGACTTGAGGTGCCAACTGGCAGTTACTGGGTGCCAGGGATTTTATGCCACACACTCTGCTTCCACAGCTAGCTTACTGAGCACACCTGAGGGGCAGGGCATTCTCCGTAGCTTCGTCCGGGAGCTACCAGAAATCAGCCAAAGAGGCAAAATAGAGAGCGGCTGAGCGGCTTGCCTGTGTGGGAGAGGTGAGGTTTGAAAACGTGAACATAATGTAGTAAGCCCAATCACATACACGCACACAGGCACACACACACACAATATATATATTTATATATATATACATAATATAAAAAACCACCTGCAAGGACTGACCACAAATGGGTGGTAAAAAGAATCCCCAAATGGTAGGTGCACCCGAAGTGCCGATTCCGCTGGCAGGTTCCATGTGTCAAGTTGGACGGCTTCACCTTGCCAGCCACGGACTGGAGGGCATTCACTAGTACCCACTAGTGTCCATTATGTTCAGTAATATCCAGTAATGTCCATTCAAGTCCATTCATAGTCTGATTTCTGGTCCGGAGGTGCTGCGCCCCTAGACCATTTATATACACCTTCTGAGAAGGGCTTGGGGTGTCAGGATGTGGATGGCATCGCTGGGTTCCCTCCGTGCCGGCTGAAGGAGCCAGCCCAGTTGCTGATCCGTGATGGTGATGTGCTGGCTCTAGAGTGGAAGGATGTCTTCCAGATGAGCAACTGGGCCTGGAGAGCAACGTGACCAGGATGCCCCCAGCATCTTGAGTGGCTCCCACGATCGATTTAAGTAAGATACTAGACATAAGTTACAGATGCTTACAGAATCCAGGCCATTCTGACAAATTGGAACTGCTACTGTCAGAAAACCGCCTGCAGACATTGGTACTTTCAGAAGACCGCCTGCAGACAGCCTAAGACCCCAAATCAGCATGTTGCGCTTCTAACATCCTGATGATATCCCCTTGATCCTTGATCCTATCCAAAAAAGCTCATGATTTGGGGAATCCCCGAGGCACCTCCAAGTCCTCTGGTGGCTATGCCCGGGGCGACCTGGCGGCCCGGCGGCGCCTGGAAGGGGCCGCGCGACGCGCAGGTCATGGAGATGGCCTTTGTCCCATGGGTTATGGTTGGGGGTTCTAATCCCATGCCCCATATTAATCCATATGACACATAATCCCATATGGATTATAGTCCCATATGGGGGATTGGATAGTCCATATGACACATCCCCAGTTTATGGTCCCATAAAAAGATATGTATTTCATCATATGTCATAAAGCAATATAAAGCATAGTTTCTGGTGTTTGGTTACCCAATGGGGGGTGGGAGTGGAGGATCATCCCATTGGATCGTTTTTCCGGCGGGCGTTTTGCCACTGAATGGGACTTATGATCACCAAGGTTTCTATATTAGCAGTCCAAAGTCCATCAAGCAGTCCAAAGTACATCGGCGTCTTTGCAGGGTCGAAAGTCTGCACATCCAGGATGAGTTTGTTTGGTGTCGGCACATCCCCATCACCTCTCATCTGCCAAAAGAGAAGGCAACGCTCGGTTTATTCGGTTTATTTAAGTGGTATCTGAAGAGTCTGAAGATCAGCAACATACCAATTTTCGTAGTCTCAAAGCTTGGTGGTGGTCTGTACCCAGTACTTCCCAGTGCATATTTCCATCGTATTTTCCATGTCCTCCATAGTTCACCGATGCCGTTGATCCAGGGCTGGCGGATCTGCCGGAGGTGCTTCTGGGGGATGAGCCGCAACTCTTTGATGACCAGTTGCTGGGCGACTCAGCTGCAAAATGCTGCAGACATGGGAACTGGGCGTGAAGTTTGACGTCATCTACCCCGGCGGAACTTTGAACTTTTTGGGAACGTCATTTCAAGATTTCAAGATAAAATTGTGCAGATTATCATAGATGGTCAATTTCTATTAAAAAAAAGGAGCCTTATGTTCAACGAATTTGGGCCTAAATGCCGTGGAACGTTGATGGACACCATCCGGCTCGTCCCAGGTGGTTGGCCCAAAGCCGTGGCTGCCTGGACCGCAATGCGACAGCAGCTGATACCCCGGGCGAAGGTGGCGAAGGTCGTCTTGGTGAAGGTGAGACTCAGAGAGGTTCAAAAAATGGACACAGGGCAGCTGGATGGAGCAGCTGGATGGATGGAAAATTGGATGTTGAAAAGTGGACAAGTGAATCGGTGATGCCAAGGATTGAGAAGGATCTGATTTGAAGATATTTGAAGGGATTTGGCGGATTTGACATGCCATTATCTATGAGATTTTGAGGTCAGCCACAGAGTGACCAGAAACTGGTCATCCCTATATTACTATAGCATGACTTGTTCTGAAGCTTTGACTCAGTCACTACGACAGTTGAAAGGATGTTGGGAATCGATCCACCCAAAATCTTCCACAAAGGACGCCCCCTAGGATAGCAGAGATGAAGCTTTTGCTCACTTGATAGAAGTTTGGGTAGACATTCAGAAGTGTGGCATTGAAGCGCACAGCATCATCAGCAATGGCCACAGTTGCCGCTGTAGTGATTGGTGGCTGAAGCAATGTTTGCAAGTGGCTTTGTCCAAAACTGAGGGACACACCAACTAAGCAGATGGGGATCAACGGATCAACCATGGTTTCCTGATTTTCTCCCCCAAACTTTCAGTCCAAGTCTGTCATAGATCTTGGCAGATGTTCTCCCAGCCTGGAGCCCATGGTCTCCAAACGCTGCATCCTGGCCCTGGCGTGCCTTCCCGCGCTTCTCAGAGGGTCATCCTGGGGCTGAAAATAGGGCAAAAGGCAAAAGGTAGTGCCAGGTAGCATCAACATCCCCAAAAAAGTGATTGTCATGATTCGTCATCGCTTTCCTCAGTGGCATGGCAAGAACCAGGGGGTCCCCATCCCCCCATTTTTTGGGCAAAGCCATGTCTTGCCTGCCGTGTTTCGCAGGCCGTTGGATGCCTTTCCTGCGGCCTCCAGATCTACCCAACCTGGGGCAACTCCTGGTCGCGGCAGAGGTGACCCCCAGGGTTTTCTGAATCCTTGAACTCTTCACGAAAAGGCACTTCCAAGTCATGCAGATGTCCAGTCCAACAAGTGGGATGATATGGGCTGATGGGTGGATATGGCTGGCTTGAGGAAAATCCAAGAACAGACGGAGAGATGTGTCTGGTCTGCCGGTGCAAATTTTGCACCCGTCGGCGTCTCAGAGGGACCATGAAATAGAGGATGATCAGATGGATTGCCTCAATGTTCCAATTAACGGCGACCACTGATGGTCCATGATTGTTTTTTGCGTTTGTTTCCATTTCAGTGGCAGCTGGGTTCGCTGCTGGAGTGTTGCAGCAAATTGCCAGGTCCAAAGTGATGCATGGCAAGCCCAAAGCCTACTGGATGCCTGGCGATGGTGACACATTTCTGGCTTGGCTGGTGCTCTTCTTATTTCTTATTTTTTAGATGGGACAATCCTGATAACATAATTATATTAATTATGTTGAGAGATATAGATTGAAGCCACCAAGCAGACTTGACCCACATTCAAAAAGATCAAAAAGGTTGTTTGCATCTACATCAACCCTTCAAGTTGCATGAATGCATGTCATTTGGAGTGTTTGCATCCAACAATTTTCAATGGTGGCAGTGGCCTATGGGCTGATGGGGTGCAGATAGTGGCAGCCACCTTGTCATTGGATACAATTGCTCCACTGGTTGCGCACACCAGAAGGCCCTACAAATCCAATCATTAGCCAATTTACCATAAAACCCTGGGGCTTCTTACAATAAGATTGTCCGATTGTTTTTTTTTCCTTCTTTGCCCCTTCGTCGGGACTTTTAGCAAGTCCTCTGTGACGAATGCAGTGCAAGGAGAGATGTTTTCCGTGTGTGGGAGCGCGAAATTCCAAAGCCGGACTTCGCCATTCATCACGCTGCAAAGGTGGGTTGCAAAGATTTCGATCATCGAAACACTTGGTGCTGTCCAACTTGTCAGTCACCAGGCAGTGCGATTGCTCCCCAAAGTGAACTTCACTGGCATGCCGACGAAACATCCAGTTCTCTGGAACTTGTTGAGGAGAACGAAGGTTGGAAGCTCAATGTCATGAAGTTTGCGGGTGCTGAATGTGAAGGGAGTGAGCGAGAGTAGGTTCATACTGGAAGAACGTGGAAGCATCGGTATGCAGAGTCGTAGGAAGTATCATCGCAGGGATAAGTGTGGCGATGTGGGGCCAGTGACATGGTTGCTGCGTTTTTCCCAAGGATCTTTTGAAGCAGGACAACTGCAGCTGAATGGCAAAATCGAGTGTATATTTGGATTTATTTTTTGAATTTATTTGGGTACATTTGGCACTCTTTGTTGTGCCATTCAGTCCATGGCCTTTGATTCTCTGATCCCTTGGGGAGATTTCAGCAAGTTCCTTGCCGTTCAGCCAAGGTACCATGATCGTGGAGGATCCGACGAAACCCCGTGGAGGGCGTTTCCATCGCATTGGGCTTTGCACTGAGGATGCCGCTGCCATGATGCTTGGCGCACCAGGTCCTGTTCGGTGGAATTACTTCAGCTCCAAAACAGGGGGTTTTCCAACATCTGGGGAAGATGTGTTCACTTGACCTGCATCGAGTGGAATCAAGTGGTCATATGATAGTCACTAATCACTAATCATCCATGAATCGCCCATTGATTATCCATGGTGGCACATCTCAGATCGTCTCAGGATCAATGCAGCAGTGGCTCTCCAAAAGCCGATCCCAGCTCTGAAGGTCGACATCGTGCCGCTCCTGCAGATCAAGGCAGATTCGCCAAATTTGGCCCACACCTCCCAAAGATCGCATGAAAGTATATAAAGCCGCAGAATGGAGGTTTTGAACATTTACAAATGATTCGTGACTATGGATAATCTATGGGCTAAAATATTCATCGCCCATTTACAGGTCCATTTAATCAATATGAATATTGACTATGAATAATCCATTAATATCCATTAATATTGATATTGCAATTTTTAGGTCCCGCGTTAGATTATCAGAGCGACCAGTGGAGGTGAGAGACGCAGTCGATGCCATGAGCAACAAGGAGCTGCAGCGGAGCTGCCTGAGAATTTTGCTTGGTGTTTTAGCAGTGGCTGCAAGTAACCTTCGCTATTTATCCATATATCTTGTTTTATCTTTATTTCTTGTTTCAGAATCTGTCCAAATGAATGGAACAGATCACAAGTTTAGAGGTATTTGTTACAGGATCTCGCAGCTATTTTGTGTGTCCCTGGTTTCCGGCATGCAGCGCATCCAGCCACCAATGGTTGAATCTCCCAAAAAATATCAATAATCAATCCATGTTCCAAATGATCCTCATGTTTTCCATCGATTTTCCTCAATGTTTCCAAAAACATCCCAGCAGGTTGAGGCATGTTTGGCCATGTTTGGCCCAATGGCCAGGACGTGGTGCGGATGCTGATGACCCGCGCCTTTCAGGAGGAAGCCGTCACCTGGCAGAGGCTGCTGAAGCGCCTGGGGCCTGAACTAGATGAGGCCATTGACATCGAGGACGGGAACGGTGACCACATGGGATGGCAAAGTGATATCAAGTTATAAAAATAATAATTATAATTATATAGTAATTATAGTTATATGTTAAATATTAACATATGTCATATTTATAGCTCTATGATGTTGCATGATGTTATATGATGTTATATGATGATATATGATGTTATATGATGTGATATGATGTTACATGATGTTATGTGTTACAGGTATGGATTACATACATGCATACATCCATACATCCATACATCCATACATCCATACATCCATACATACATACATACATACATACATACATACATACATACATACATCCATACATCCATACATCCATACATCCATACATCCATACATACATACATACATACATACATACATACATACATACATACATACATACACATACACATACATACATACATACATACATACATACATAATACATACTATACATACATACATACATACATACATACATACATACATACATACATACATACATACATACACATACATACATACATACATACATACATACATACATACATACATACACACACATACATACACATACATACATATACATACATACATACATACATACACACATACACATACACACATACACACATACACACATACACACATACACACATACACACATACACACATACACCATACATACATACAGACAGACAGACATACAGACATACAGACATACAGACATACAGACATACAGACATACAGACAGACATACAGACATACAGACATACAGACATACAGACATACAGACATACAGACATACAGACATACAGACATACAGACATACAGACATACAGACATACATACATACATACAGATATATCACCTACATCTTGGGAAACAACAACAATAATCAGGTGGATGGTTTTGATATGCATTTTGAAAGGATTTTCCCATCCCACATGGGGTGGAAGAACGGTCCTCGTAATTATGCTATATAATTCCCAACACCATTGCATCAAGGATGAGAAACATGTCAATATTTTGTTCAAAGGGATGGCCCTCCTTCCAGAAAATGCCAAACTTCTTGAAATTATCTCCAGGCCAGTGATCAGCTACAGGACATTCCACAGATCATTGAGCTGCTTTGTTCTGAAGAGGTGGCTGTGACTGCTGCAGCCGTGCTGGAGGAAGGCCACATGGGGATGGGCTGGGTATACTCACAGCGCGCGGAGACACCGGAGACCTGCCATGTGCATACCAGGCCAGCTCCCGGAGTCTTCTGACGGTGAAGGTTGGGTTGCCAGGGCGGCATGGGTCCGATATCGCCTCCAATCAGTGCTTAGGGCCTAGGGGGATCTCAAAACTCATTTTGGGAACTTCGGTTTGGCATCATTTTCAATCTACTCTCTGGATCCCTCTGGCAATTAAACATAGCTATGGAAAATTGCCAATCTACGAGATGATTTACTGCACCTATAAAAACAATGATTTTCCATTGCGGCGGTAAATCAAGAGAGGGTAATGATCAGATTTGGTATTGCGAAACTTGAGCCAGGCTTGAGACCTTTGGAGAGTGGTCGCTTACTTCGTGCTCTTCGGGATCAGGCCCAAGCGTCTCCCAGCTACTTGCAGTTCAAGCCCCTGGTTGGTTCCTCGAAGGTATATAGACAGGTCGACCTCGAAATCTTCAAAGTTTCTAAATTTGGCAGATTTTCTTCGTTTTCCGTCTTCCTTCGCCAGCAGGTAGCCTATAGAATCCAAGAGCTACCAACATCCGCAGGTGGTGATCTACTGGGATTCCTTCGAGCTGAGCGAAATCGCCAGTTGCTTCTGGAACTTGGCAAAGGCAAAGCTCATCCACGAGCCGCTGCAAGCGGCTGCCAGCCACCTGGTAGTGCAGAAGGCCAGATTTTTTTGGGTTCTGAATTGAATATATAGGTCTCTTAGAGGCAGATCTTCACTTTACTCAAGTGTGGGTGTGGTTATCAGGCCTCTTCCTTCCTTGTGGTCCAAAAGAGTTAAACAAAAACATCATGGTGAGATGGCACCTGCCGTCGTGCAGGCGCCTCGTTGGCAACCGAAACGCTTCGACCCAGAAGTCTGGCAGATTCTGTGCTCACTGGCGCAAGTGGGCAGGGAGGCCAGGTCCTCAGCAGGTCACAGTGATGGGAGGGTCAGCTACCTGGCTACCTCATCACCAACTGTGGCCAGGTAGTCCATGCTTCAAGACGCTTCAAAAGTCGAATTCAGTTGTCCATGTGGGTCTATCCTTCAAAGCCATGTCCTTGTTATAAGTTGCTGATATCTATCTAGATTATCTATATAGATTATTGAGTTTGAAGCCACGGTGAGCCCTTTGTAAGCCCTGCGCTTCATTTAAATACCACAATGGCTAACTAGCAGACCTGGAACCTCGACACACTTCATGTTTTCAAACTAGTTATATATATATATATATATACAATTAACAACCATTCACATATGTAGAGTTATTATGTTTGTTTCACTTGGTACGTCTTGGTATAAAGTGAGATCTACATATTAGAGGATGTTTCACCTTGACCATTTTGTTTTCTTTTTTGAGATCTGCCGAGGATCCAGCCCTTCTGAAATCCCTGGCGCGCTTGGCCTTGCGGCACGACCTGGGCACCATGACCAACTGGGTGCCTTGGACAGGGAGGTCATCGCGACCTAACTGGGGGGATACAGGGTGAATCTCCAGATTTGGCTCTCTCTCTCTCTATATATATATACACATACACATACAATATATATATATATATAATGTATATATATATATGTAGAAAAGGGTCTTCGTACTTTGCCCAGATGGACTCGAAGAAACTTTGTCTTTTAATTTTTTTGAGGATGGGAATAGAACCAGAGTTTCGTCCCCTTCCTATACTCCTTGAAACCCAATATTGACCAAGCGTGGTAGAGCTGCAGGGCGCAGGACATTACAGTTTGTAAAGAACATTGGCTACTGTACCGCTTGTCAAAGTCCGGCAACTTTCTCTGACACATCCGGAGATCTGAGGCTGTTTGTGTGATTTCTTGGTCGCAACATGGCTGAACTATGCTGAACTGAATTTCTTGGCTTGAGTGATACGGGGTTTCTCTTCATGAGACCCTCAGTGGATTTTCTGGCTGCCAAAATGAACGCAAGAAAATGATCTTTATATATCTTGAACAAATGGGGTTTCAATACGTCCAAAGCAACGGGTTGAGCATGTGCTTTTGAAGAAACATATAGACATATCAAGACGAACATTGGAAGTGAAGGGGTGCTCTCAAAAAGACTCATTTTAGCTAGGACCATGGCAGCAACCACCGACATGAGTGACATTGCACGATCATAGATCCTGAGGTATGCTCAGCTTGAAAGTCCACAGGCGAGTCAGATTTGTGTTCTGGCGACTCTTTTGTTGCTGAAACAGAGGGAAAATCCATATTGATATATCCACATGGCGATGGAGAGAGAGAGAGAGATCCACATGTACACCTACTACTCTCGTTTCAACATTTAATATCATTCAATTCAATCCATTAATGAAAACATCCCAATGAACCCAACCCTGGTGCACCTTCAAAGCACCGCAGCCCCCTCGACCAGGATGGCCTTGGCGACTTCCGGCAGCGCCTGCAGATGGAGCTGAATCTGCGTGAGATCGCCGAAGAGGTGGCACAAAGCTGGCAGGTCGCCTACAGCGAGGAGCCTTGGCTGCGGTTAAGGGGAAAGCTATGACTTACCCGAAATTTGAGATCGGAAGATGAGAACCTCCCAAAAACTGGCAGACATTTAATCGGAGAATGATCTATCAAGAGACTTTCTTCGGGGGGGGAACCATGTTAGATTTCTGGGCTCCCACCAGGATTTGGGGCTGCTTGTTTCACCGGCGAACCTGTGCACCTTCCAGGATATGGATGAGTTTTGGCTCCGTCGACGGATCGCGCTTTGGCACTCAGGGTAAACGCTCCACCATGGTAACTTTTATTGAATTTTATCGTCCACTCCAATGGTTTTTGCCAACAGCAAAGATCCCTGCTGTCCAGCTGCAATTTGACCAAATGGCGGTTATTTCTTGAAGGGTGAATAGCATGGATGATTGATGATGGTTGGTGATGGTTGATGATGGTTGATGATGGTTCGATTGAACATCCCCATTTACTGTCGACCCATCATGATTTTTGGATACTTTTGGGTACTTTTGGATATACTTTTGGATATCTTTTGGATATTTGCAGATACTTTGGGTATATAGATGTATTTAGTATATTTTCAACATAATAATGATAATAGTAATAATAATAATGCTAATGATAATGATCATGATAATAATAATTATACTACTGATAATAGTAATATCGACAATAATAAAATAATAATAGTAATACTGATAATAATAGTAACAATGATAATAAAAATACATACATACATACATACATGCATGCATGCATGCATACATACATACATACATACATAGATACATACATACATACATACATACATACATACACACATACACACACACATACAGACATACATACATACAGACATACATACATACATACATACATACATACATACAGACAGACAGACAGACATACATACACACACACATACACACATACACACACACATACACACATACACACATACACACATACATACATACACACATACACACATACACACATACACACATACACATTACATTATACTACAGTACATTACATTTACATTTACATTTACATGTACATTTACATTTACATGTACATTTACATTTACAGTACATTACATTACATTACATTACCATCACCATTACCATTACCGTTACATACCGTTACATTGAAGTTACCATTACCATTACATTACATTACAGATAGACATACATACATACATATACATATATATATATATATATCACACACACACATACATACCATATATACATGTATATATATATATATACACACTGATTTCCACTATTGGATACGCTTCGACATATTTGTTTCCTATATATTTCCCTATCTTTACCACGTCTTTCCCTGCCGGGCCACTGGGTGCCGAGGCGCAACGGCCCTTGTTCATCGCGCCGCGCCCTGTGAAGCTCCTGCGGCGGCGGTCGGCCGAAGCAGCGCCTGGGCTGGGGGGATCCCCATATGTCACATGTCGTCACCATATGTCACCATGGTTGTTTCAATACTACTCCCAATCCAGCTGTAAGTCATACTAAATCATACCAAGTCATGGTGTGCAAGTTGCAACATGATAATGCTCAATGCATCTAGATCATCTAGTGATGCCGGCCATATGTTTCATGAATCACAGGGTGAGCTCAAAAATCGTGCTGCCACCAAGATAACATCCTTGCCTGGGAAAAAAAACACTCGACTGATTTGCAATTTTTCTTGCGAACAACCAGATGCACTGTAGATAGGGCAACTCACAACTTCTCTACCTGCCAGCTTTGAAGTTGGAGGGTGGCCTTCAACGATCACCCAGAGACTGCCAGAGTTTGAGGACCTGAAACAAGCTGCGGAAGTTGGGAAGCTTCTAGCCAAACCCAACTGGAAAGAGGCCTGGGAGGATTTGGCGAAGATCATTGGGATTAGCATCTTTTGGGCCCGCAACATCCCAGCTGTGACCTCTACAGTCTGGCCTTTATGGCTCTTCAATCAAGTAGCTGTTCCATGCTCTTCACATCTCTTCACATTTTCGACGATTCCATCCTACTGTTGAGAGTTTCTCCCTTGGGTTTCAGCTTTCCGCATCATTTGGGCTTCGCCAGTTGGACCGCATCGACGAAGATGAAGCCGAAGCACCGGACAAGTTGGAGGACTTCCGTTTGTTCGACGCGTCGAACGACTTGGAGGACTGATCCGCGCTGCCCGCGCTGCCTGCGCTGCCCGCGCTGCCCGCGCTGCCCGCGCTGCCCGCGACGCGCAAAGAAAATGCGGGGGTTGCTGGGTTGTCTCTGATGGATCAACCAATCAACCATTACAAGTCTCATCAGTCCCGTTTCGATCCATTTCAGACAGACAGACAGACAGACAGACCGACAGACAGACAGACAGACAGAGAGAGAGAGAGATACATAGATACATAGATACAGAGAAAGAGAGAGAAAGAGAGAGAAAGAGAGAGAAAGAGAGAGAAAGAGAGAGAAAGAGAGAGAAAGAGAGAGAAAGAGAGAGAAAGAGAGAGAAAGAGAGAAAGAGAGAAAGAGAGAAAGAGAGAAAGAGAGCTATCAGAGAGAGAGAGAGAGAGAGGCAGACGACTCAGAGCCTCAACCACCTTTCGGTCCATCAGTGGGTTCGCTCTTTTATTCATGCATCACGGCAACTAACAATTCCTATTCTTTGAAACACCAGATGCCTTTGCCAACGCTGTCAGCGTCGCCGGTTTCATTTCATTTTTTATTCACGTCGCTTCGCGACGGCAACCGCCCGCACCGCATCGTAACTGCCAATGATGTCGGCCATTGAGACCAAAAACATCCGAAAGTACTGATTGTCGGAAAAAAAAACGCGAAGAATTTGATAGCCATGTATAGCGGACCAACGCAGTTCAAAAAATAACGAAAAACATGAAAAAACGGCGAAATTGCTGTTATTTACAGTGTTTTTGCGCGGTGAGAAGCAGAAACCACTGCAAATACCATGGTTTTTGAGGGTCAGGTGGCCAAAAACACTGTAATTTACAGTGTTTTTTTAACCAACGTCAAAAAACACTGGTATTTACGATGTTTTCATTCACACCGTAACATAAAACAGCGTAATTTACGAGGTTTTTGGAAGTTTTGAAGCTAGCCGTCAAGCATGCAGAAAACAGAAAAACACTGTAAAAACCGGTGTTTCTGCTATCACAAAACGACGAAAATCAGTCCGAAAACGGGTCCAAAAACTCAAAAATCCGCCTCCGGGCCAGGCCACCTGCGGAACCGCAAAAAAAGATGTTGCAAACCAAAAAATTGAGGTCAAAAAGTTGAAAAACACGGGTTTTTTCACTTTTCGCTTGCCGATTTTGGACGGGCGCGTTCACGAACAGGTGTCTTCCGTACTGTTTTTTACAGTGTTTTTTGAAGGCGAGCGTCACGACCTATCAAAAACAGGAGGTTTTGGCCGAAAAATGCCCCCCCCCCCCAGGTAAACCTGTAACCTTTTACGAGTGCCATCCGGACGATCACGCCCCAGCACCTTCGGGGCGGGCGGATTTAATGCGTGGATCCACTGAAATATCGATTCGTGTCACTGAAAAAAAGACCCAAACAAAATAACATGCATTTGACATCATCCATCAACCCTTTCGTGTGCACCTGGCATTGATGTGCTTGCTATCTGGCCAAGTGTGTGACGCTCCAAGGGCTTGAAGACGGAACAGGAAAGGTCTGCACAACACTGTAGCAACTGTAGCAACATGGAACTCAAATGACTATAGGCCTGTTTGCCTACCACTCAACAGCAGCTGCTTAGTTGAAAAAACTTGGAATCTTTAGCTCTTCGCGTGGGACATGGTTCTGCCAGCCAACTTGTTGCCATGAAACTTCGTTTGAGGCGCATCTCTTTTGTTGTGCTGCGCTGTTCCTGGGACTTGCCCATCGGACTTACAGATTTCCCACCACCCCCAGAACTACCAGAAGTCAGTCATAAATGTCATAATCAATCTGCAGTTGAGTTGAGAATGTTGAAATGTGCGGATATTGTAATGACAACAATGGAGGTGTGGGCAAAGACGGAGGTCCTCCAAATGTTCTGAGCTCAGTATATTCGCCTGGAGACAGCGAAGACGCCCGTGGAGTGAGGTGAGAACTGTGATGCTTGGAGCTGCACCGTTTCAGGACCTACGCATGACCAATTGAGTCAACCTCTGTAACCCTAAGCCAACCTCAACATGAACCCATCCATTTGGAGACAGATGATCAGATATATTTTATAATGAATTATGATGATATTGTGCACATGGACATAGATATATCAGTTTTCATCCCAACTTTCTCAAATAATTGTAGCACATTAAGGGCAGAATAGTTTGTGATTTGTTGCAATGTTGGTGCAATCGTAGAGCCCCCAGTTGCTCTCTCTTGCTTTCCAGGACAGCTGGCAGCTTTGCAAGCATGGGATGACCAATCGCAGCCACATCGCACCAGCAGCGCTGGACAGGGCTTACCGAAGATATGCTGTAGAACACTGCAATCTGCATGGAAGAAGTACAAGAGTGGAACCTGCTCACTAATCCATGGCGGACTTGACCGGGCTTTATTTCGACCACTTTTGAACAAAATTCCCAAGGATTGCTAATTCCGGTTGATTTCCTCCGTGACGATGTTAATCCAGTGGCAGGAGCGGGCCTTTCCGGACTTCAATTGTCACCGGGTGCAAGGTGGACGATGGCGCAGCTTGCGGGAAGATTTCGAAGAATTGTTGGCTGTCGGGCCCAATGGTGTTCGTCCCTTGGCACAGGTTGTAGCATGGGTCTCCAAACTTTGGGACACTCACATTATTCTCAGGGATCCTTCGCACATATATACACAAACAAGATCAAACAAAATCAAACAAAACAATGAGTAACGAATGTCACTAATTCATGAAGAAAAAAGAGGCCGAAGAAGAAGAAGAAGAAGAAGAAGAAGAAGACGAAGAAGACGAAGAAGAAGAAGAAATCCGTATGGCCGTATGCCAAGTTTTGGGCAGCCCAAACGGCACAGGCACATGCGCAAAAAAAATCCAGGCTCACACTCACACCACTGGAGGTTAATGCAACAAAAAAGATTAAGATCACACAGGCCCATTTTGGATCATTTTGGACGGTTCGCGCAGATGCCCGCCCCATGAGTTCAGCCCAGGATCTGAATCCGCACGCGAGTTCAAGCTCCGATGGCGCCGAGGAGTACGCAGGACGCGGTTCTGTGCGAACGCTTTGGTGATTCAGCACCAATGTTTATCCAGATGGAAGGAGTGGTTTCAGTCGCGTTCCAATGGATTTTGCAATCCTGGAAGATAAGTCACCACCACTGGAAATCGACCAAATTTGAGGGATTTTCAGGGTGAGAAGCTGCTGATTTCTTGAGCTGCTGAAAGCTCCACCCTTTGGGTCAGGCTGGCGCTACACCATGGTTTCGGCCATGGTAGCCATCCTGCAGCCGCCAATTTTTCCATGGTTGCTTTGAGGAGGTCGGAAGATGGTGGGACCCAGACTCCGTTATTTATGTTATTTGTGGCTATCCAAATTTGTATTTCATAGATGATTTTAATCAGGCCTCATCACTTGGGCAACCGTGTAAATTTGGCTCAATTTCAATGCACCTGGCGGGCACTTCGTCTGGCAGGTCATGCCCCCTGGGAGCCGCTACCTTGGCTTTGGTGGAGTTGCTGAGCGGTTTGCTCAGATGCTCAGCACCAGACGGGTCGCAGTGGTGGCCAATGGGGGCTGTTCGATTCAACAGCTGGGTGGTTGATGATGAACAAATGATATTATATAGACAGGTTGATGTCTAGAGTGACCAGAGAGGATATATTTATCACCTAATTTTGATTCGCAGATGGGATAACCATTAAGCAAAAACAAGGGGGTGACCTCGTCTGGAATAGGCCCTGCAGCAGGTTGGGCCCTGAAACACCCACAGCCTTTATGTATAGATACATGCTGTTGCATATTTGCTTGTTTGTATGATGATATTGTATGATATTGTATGCACTTATTATCACTTATTTATCTATTATCTATTCATTTAACTTTTCCAATTGCTGAACTCATGTATTTGAAATTGAGAGGGACATTATATATATATATTTATGTATATATGTATATATATATGTATATATATATATACATGTATACGTATATGTACCACTTATCCGAGGTATTCGTTCGGCGGGTGACCCAAGTCACAGGATGTGACCGGCTGCTGTCGATCCAGGATTTGTTGAGTTTCACCACCGAAGGGGGCGTGTTGGTGCTGGGGGTGAAGTGCAGGATGTACAGGCAGGGCCCTGGTGATGGTACTGGCTGGTGTTTCTTGAGTCAAAATCCAGATAGGTTCAGCATCAGCTTAAATCTGTAGTCTCAATCCTCCAGTGCTGTCTACAGGCCCAGCTTCAGCGCGCATTGCAAGAGTTCTCTTCAGCTCTGAGTCTGGTGCGCAGACCGTGGCTCTTGGTCTCCTGATGGCACTTCGGTGGAGGAATGTGGAGCTGTTCGATTCTTTCTTCCTGAGCCTCCTCTGGTTTGAAGGAGAAATCGAGAAGCTCTACAAATTGGATGACTAATTTGTATTAATTGTTTATTGAAGGCATGTGACGTGAAAGGAGTGAGACGATAATCCAGTTCCCACGTGAATGTAGACACGGCACGTGTTTGACCTGGAGGTGTCAATCTGGGTGTTCGAGTTTTGCTCCCCAAATGTGGTGCGTCTGAAACATAACCAGCAACCCTGACCCTCTCAGTATCCTCTCAGGCTTCATATCCATGTGGGATCATTTGGGTATCTCCAAACGCTGGTTTGGAACCCTGAAGGGTATGGGATCTGCCGGGTTTCTTGGATCACCATGGATCACCATTGGATTCTTTTTGATATGACCGCATGCCACTGGATGACTGGTTGGATCACATGCCAGGTTTTTCTGCTGCCTGCCACCCGGTGGCCGGTGCTGGACCTATTGTTATCCATGGAGCGGCACGTGCTGAGTTCACCCACGGCTACGGCGCAGTGCATGCAGAGATCGTCGCGACCTTCAGGCCGGCGTTCGGTGGGAGCCAACATGCCCCAAATACATCCAACCACCAAGGCGAGGGCTGATGATGAGATTCAAAATTGACAACTCGAACCTCCGGCGATCATTTTCGGAGACTTTCGGATTCCTGATTTCCTGATTTATTAAATCCCAAAACAGACCCGTCACCTTTGGGGTTTGGTTGAGTTTGAAATGAACAGCACCACATTTCTCGGAGGTTTTGCCCGGCCAGGCTTTGAAGCCTTGCAACCGCTGCTGCAACGCATCTCCCACAGCAGTTGGGGCGATGACAGCACTGCACCCAAGGTGCATGGCTTCATTGGCTCCAATGAAGTCTCGGAACTGCTGAAGAGGCCATGTCGACTGGACAAGCGCGAACAAAGGTATGATACAGTATGATGTTAGTATATATGGTATATGCTTATTATATATGTTTATCCATGGTTGGTTTGTGCATCATCCTATCTATCATCTGATTTATCATGTTTTACCATGATTTATCATGTTTTTATCTATCTGTCTGTCCATCTATCTGCCTGGCTACATACCTACCTAACCCAAACCTAAACTAAACCTAAACCTAACCTAACCTTACCTACCTACCCACCCACACACACATATATATATATATAATATTATACACAGAGAGACCCGTGCGTACATATATGCAGAGTATATCTCATTAGATACATATTCTAAAATTGCTTATTTCATCTTATCTTCAATTCAGAACTCTATAGGATAACTTGCCCGGGTGCACGGTGAACTGACACGCCCGTCACTGATGAGAGTGGCAAGCGCGTGCTTGCCTATGTCTGTGTCAATGTCACCCCCAGGTGTAAACCCCGGTTGATTAATTAGTGGTACGAGTCATAAATGGTCACCCTATGTCACCCTGCAACCTGGTGGTCTTTTAGTTTTATAGTCGTTGGCGAGCATTTTGCTCTACTGTGTCTTGACATATAGGTGAGTTACTGTACATTATCTTTCGTTTTCCATGCAGTGAAACGAGTTTCAATCTAGCCTCATTTTGTATGCTGAGACTCAGAATGTCATTTTACATTGCCATCACATGCCGCCGCCACAGGGCTGTACATGAACTCTCTTCCGAACAATACGCATTCGTGCTGCAGCAGGGAGAGCGGTGCAGAACTCAGAGGATTTTTTCAAGGAGCTTCCCCAGCGTGAAAATAAGTCGAGCTTGACCTTTACCGTACTACAGTACCCCTTTTACGAACACAATATGATATGATAGCATGATTTTTTTTTGTGATATATATATAATACATGCACCACAATGCACATAAGACCATATGATATGCTAGAATATTGTACACGATACGCATTCTTCAAAACCACATCGCCCTCGACGTTTTTGTGTTTGTGTATTGGTATTTCATGTGGTGCCGATGAACTTCCAGGGCATTTTTTGGGAGGTGTCGTCCATTGGCGATGCAACAGCGCATGGTGACTGGCTTGGTGCTCTTGGAGTCCCTTGGAGCAGGTTGTGACCTCCAAGGATATGCGGACACTGAGAAGTTACCAGAAGTTACCAGAGAAATTATTGTTCTTGGGGGGATCTTGGATGATTTTGGACACTTGACTTAGATTTAGATGGAGTGACTGTTCTTTGGGGATTTTGGAGCATGTTTCTTGACTTGCATAGATGATCCATTTGTGAGTTGAGCAACCGAGTTTAAGCAACAGGATAGTGGCATCAAACGTTGGGAACCCAGCAAGAGGATTGACCAACAGAAAATGGCATCTATATAACTTTGGAAATCAAAGCAGCAAACCTGCAGGGCTGGAAAATCCTCCGCTTCTATTGGAAGATCATCTGAATTCTGTGTAAATGGGGTAGCTTCCCCTCCCAGATTAGAAGACAATCCGGATTGACCTTTAACCAATTTGGGATTGGTTAATAGGTTGTCCAGACAATGTTCTTGGGATTGCATCAATCACCTTCAAATTATGGGGATTATGACTGCAAACATGTCGATTACATGAACATAACATTCCATTGACAAAAGAATTGGTTTTCACTCATGATTCCATAACGTGATTGGTAACTTGGTAACCCATCATGATGACATCAGTGATTGACATCCAGTGGTCCATTGGTGGAAAATCAGCCAGTTGGGCTTGGCCACGGATCTAAATGAGGACCAATGTGCTTATAGCTGGAGCAGCCCTCAACTCAGCCAGTATCCCACTTTGGATGTGTATCACAGAGACTTGAAGCATCTAGAAGCATTTTTGTGGCCACGGATCTTCTGGATCTACCATGGTAGACCAATGAAACTGCGGTCGTTCATCTATATCCGGTAGCATATTTATCACCCCAAAGAAAGCCTTTGAGAATTAACCATGCAGCATTAATCTCAACCAGAAATCAAGATGCACTGTTGATGCACTAGACATTTTCTACATGGGTTTGGCTGAAAACAGGATACTCACAAATCTGATGTTCCTCATCAGACATATTTACCTGGCCACACATCTGCACCTATAATATATCATATAATACACATACCTACCTCTACATCTATTTCCCCATCTCAATCTCTACATCTATTTCCCCATCTCAATCTCTATATGTCTCTATCTTTATCTATCTATACTATATCTTCAACTGTCCATTTTTTAAGACTAGCTTTCTATACTATATTTCTATCTACCTATACAATATCTCCAATTCTCTTTCTTCCATCCTATATCTGAATGTATCTATAACTGAAGCTATATCTGTCTGTTTGTCTGTTTGTCTGTTTGTCCGTGCGCCTGTCTGTCATTCAGTCCGTCAGTCCGTCAGTCCGTCAGTCCGTCAGTCCATCCGTCGGTCAGTCGGTCGGTCGGTCGGAACTCTTTGGCGAGGACCAGGTGGTGGAGCTGAGGAAGCTCTTTTGGTATGTGCAGGGTCTAGATGCGTCCCGGCCCGGTCATCCGGGGCAGCAAAGGAAGGGTTAAACACGAGCTGTGGTTTTGCCTGTCTACTTTTGTTCACGCGTGCCTTGCCACAACCACAATGCATTTGACAGGATGAAACTTCGAAAGGGCCAGCAAAAAAGAAGGTTTCCTTAGAAGCCGACTTGGATGGCACGGTTGAAGCTGCTGCCTTTGGCAAAGCCGAGGCAGGAGGATCATCAGCTGTTTGCAGGTGTCGAGGCCGTGCCCCCGCGTCGTTTTTAGTAAAACCAATTCCTTAGATGTTCTTGCCCGCTTGTACTCAACTTGTGGCATGAGCCCCAATCCACCTTCATGAGAGCAGGAGACAGCACAACCTTCGAGCAAGACTTGGGAGAAAGGATTACGTGGCCGAACGTGCGCTGCCAAAGCCCAGCTTGCATCTTCCCAGCCAGAGAAGAAGGAATGCCCGCACTGGTCGAAAACAAGAAAGGCGAGACCCACTGCATGTTTTGCAGCAAAAAGGCCTTGCAACCGCAAAAGGCTCCAAGGTCACCCAGGTGCTGGAAAGGATTTACGCCCTCTCTGCGCCGAATGCTGAGATAGCCTTACAGAAGATCCAGGCATGCTGGCAAAGAAGCCGCAGACCCGTATCGTGCGAAGTTGGGCTGCTGAAAGCTTCGAAAAGTTGGCAACGCGTGTTTTCGCATCCAGGATCTTTGCATAAGGAAGATGTAGCACTGCATTTGCCGGAATTGCATTTCTTTCCGTCTTGAAAAAGGGCATTGCTTTTTTTTGTCCTTTGACACTGCACTGGTGTTGAAGAGGTTAGCGCCGGCTCCGGATGAACTACGTAGGCGATTCATTTAGTGGGTGATACGACGGGGTGCACCGAGGCGCCACGAACAGGGCAGCCCGGCCAGCAAGCATTTCCACAAGCTTCCTCAGCTGACAGATGCGTTCAAGCGCAGAAGAAAAAGGCACGTGCTTGCATGATTTTGTGTGTCTGTGTCTGTGTCTGTGTCTGTGTCTGGTGTCTGGTGTCTGGTGTCTGGTGGCTGGTGTCTGGTGTCTGGTGTCTGGTGTCTGGGTCTGGGTCTGGGTCTGGGTCTGTGTCTGTGTCTGTGTCTGTGTCTCTCTCTCTCTCTCTCTCTCTCCCCCTTCTCTCTCCACGTATTTGGCGTGCATCCTAAACCCAAGGATCCCCATCAATGGTGAATATCGTCATTTTGTTATCCTACATTGGCATTACTGACGGTGCAAGCATGCCACCCCCATCCTCCCATACCGCCAGCTTTCCAGTCCGAAACCAGACAAGACAGGATCCAGAAACCTGGTTTCGTGAGATGGAGGACGAGCTACGCGACTTTGTCGCCAGCCAGGCCTTTTGGGGGGTGTTGGAAGTCTTTGAAGCGTCGGCCGTGGTTTAAACTTGGTTTGGTAGGGACAGTGATTCTTTTTACGGGCAATTTTTGGGCCCTACATGGAAAAATGGGGCAAACTTGGCCAAACCAGCTTTAGAGGCAGGTACCTAAAATTATGCATACTATCTGGTGGCGTGGGATTTCCTCAGCAGAGAGAAATGTAACTCGCAGGGTGCTGACTCAATTCCCCCACCCATAGATTTAATAGATTTGTTGTAGCCAGGACCTGTGGCAACGGTTGCTCGTGATGCCCCCAGGTCCAACTGCACAGATCACTTTTGAATCGTGGGGTGGGAGAGGACGAGAGCCGAAATTATTATCAGCGTAGTGTAAACCGAAAACAGGGTTTGCAAGATCATTTGCTAATACAGTATAACAATTCTTGGGTTCAATGTAGTCAAGTGTGGGAAGTGCAACAGGTCCGTTTCATTCTTCATCCGCTTTCAACGTCCTCCAGATTCTAAGGGAATGCCCTTCGCGACTTACCCCTTCTTCGGTTTCTGGCTGCGCTTGCGGAGGTTGCTAACTCACAGGCAAGTTGGGGTTGAGTGGGGGCTCTCCAACACAGCAGAATGCAAAGTGCTGCCAAATCCCTTCCCCCTCTAAAAAGCGGTACTCGATAAAATTTGCACACATTATGCGCACATTACATGTCATCACATGTCTAGTTTGTATGTGTCCGCACACACACACACACGCCACAATCACGTCACACAACACAGACACAGCCCCTTTGCGGAGGTTGGACCTTCCCTTCAACTCTGTGGTGCAGACAGGGCCCCAGATTCACAGGTAAAGACTAGACCTGGCAGGTGCCCAGTGGCAATCCAACCTGGCAATGGAAAATACCAACTGGCAGATGGAATGAAAAACGGGTTCTCGGAATTCTCCATGGCCAGTGCCCAGGTTAAATACCCTTAGATACCCTTATTGAAATTGCCAATGGGCAGGGAGGAAGACATGGGTTTATCTCCTGTCTTGTAGCCGTGTTATGATGGTCATTTGTAATGGAGTCTTTAGTTTTTCTGTTGAGTCATATGGTATGCCGGGTCATCGTGAAAGACTGTCCGGTAGCCGTTCCACTTTGTGCCAAGGAGAGCAACCAACTGAGTGAGTTCAAATTCTATCCATGTAACACTACTCTGCTGCCAGAAGAAACAGTGGCATATGTGGCGTAGAAGTTTTGCGAATTCTTTCCGTGGAATCACTTCTTTTAAAATGAGAGACTCAAGCCGGTTGCAGCAACTAATTGCGAGCTAACCAACTCTTGTCAAAAGTCTCATGTAGCGCTGCGACTGGTAGGCTGGCAGACCTGTTCTCAATTGCGCTGAAGCCCGCACCACAAGGTCCCGGTCGGTCCCGGTTCCATGAAACGGGAGATGCCACTGCTCGATGCAGATGTTTTTGAAGATAAATATAATGGTACGAATAACAGTAGTGATAAAAATAATAGTCATAAGAATAGTATACACTAGTAATAATCGTGATCACAGCGATTAGTAAATTCTCATTAACAATCATGATGATAATCATGATATACATATATATATATATATATGTATGTATGTAATGTATGTATGTATGTATGTAATGTAATGTAATGTAATGTAATGTAATGTAATGTAATGTAATGTAATGTAATGTAATGTAATGTATGTATGTATGTATGTATGTATGTAATGTATGTATGTAATGTATGTATGTATGTAGGTATGGTATGATATGGTATGGTATGGTATGGTATGGTATGTAATGTAATGTAATGTAATGTAATGTAATGTAAGTATGTATGGTATGGTATGGTATGGTATGGTATGGTATGGTATGGTATGTAATGTAATGTAATGTAATGTAATGTATGTATGTATGTATGTATGTATGTATGTATGTATGTATGTAATGTATGTAATGTATGTAATGTAATGTAATGTAATGTAATGTAATGTAATGTAATGTATGTATGTATGTATATATATATTTATATGCATATGCATATCTATATAATGTCTATAGTAATGCAGTAGATATAGATGTAATAACAACTGCGGATATTTGCGGGCAGTTGTCATTACTCGTGCCATATTGGCAGCGTAACAACTCCAGCATTGGGATCCATTTTTCTTGAATGCGTGTCATCAGCTTACTGAATCAAGATTAATCAAAGGTCTCCAATCCATAGTTAGATTTGTTGATATCAGCTTTGTAATTGCACCTGGTCGATTTCAGCCGTAGTTTTGGTTGCCCTTTGTGCATGTGTCACATCCACACATAACCAGTTGCCAAAATGAACATTCATGTATATATTTGTTCTTGTTCATGTTTGTCACATTTTGTCCGTGAATTCAGGTCAAATTTCTTTGTTGCACCCTCATCACATGGGGATCATATGGGTGCTTCCACATGCTATGGAAGATCATTCTCATACAAGATACGACCCGTCGCCGAATTCATACTGTCGCTCCCGGGTGCGTCACCCAAATAAGATTAGACTAGACAAGATTAGATTAACATGGATGAACTAACTTCAAGAAAAAATAGATACATTGGATAGTTGGTTTCGATGGCTTGAAAACTGCAACCATCAACTGCTGATAATTTTGGACTGCGCAGGTGGCCACGCCGCCATGTCCACGGACATGGTCCCCTGGGTGACAGCCTTTGAGAGGTGGGGTGTCCTGTCTGAAAACAGGGCATTTAACCGATTCAACCCCAATAGATGGCCGTTTTAATCTATTTTCAGACAAAACCAAATGTAGAAACATGCGATTCTTCGTGGATCTCAAGAAGGCAGGGGCCAAAAGGGCACACTTGCAAAGCCAATCTTGTTATGAGTGCTTGGGGTGGTTGTGCGACCAAACAATTTCAAGGCATACCCCGAGACTGAAGTATGAAAGCACATCCTGGTAGCTTGGTGGTTTCAATTAGTTCTCTTTTCTATCCTTCACATCCCTCTTTGTGATGCAAAACCCGCATGGACACATAAATCTGCTGTTCTGGTGTTTGTGTGATATTTGGACTATTTCTGTTTCAAATCTTGGGCTGGTTGATCACAAAACAAACCTCCATCATCCTCCATCACAGAAGATCAAGGAGCTGCAGCGCAGCTGTGTCCCCTCAAACATCAACCGCTCCTCGATCCCCAATCCTTCCGATGACGGAGGAGTCCACCCAGATTCGGGCGACCTGCAGTTGCTGAGTCGATTTTTTTTGTTCCCACAAGGGAATCGACCACCATCCACAATCACAATCCATGCCATGCCTAGTGAAATACCACATGGGGCTCGCAACATGAATAATTAGACAATACTAAACCATACTAAACCATTGAACCAGGGTTTCTAGGGATTTCTTTGATATGAATCAGGGCGCAGGGATTGCTGGGAAGATGTTTTTTATTTTTCCGCATGGACCCCAAAACGCCAATCTAAGGTGAGAAACCTAGCTGGCAACCTGCTCCTGAAGCTGACCCTTCCAGAGTCACTTGAAGAATTGAAAGAGCGCGCCAGCGCTGTCTGTGGCATGCCGCCAGGATTGCTGAGGTTTGTCAAGGACAATGAGCCTCTGAAAAGTCTGGAAGATATCACTGGGGGCATGGAATTGATGATGATGGTGGATGAAAGTCCATACTACTCTTGGAATATTGCCGGAAATCCTGACAGTCACTTTCTCACTGGCTCTGACACGACTGTGGAGTTCTTCGACCTGAAGAACATGTCAGCTCCGGACTATGTCAATGTGCTGAGTCAGGTGCCAATTCAGCAAGGCGTGCATTTTGTGGAGTTCATCATGCACTCCCTTCAAGATGAACAGTGGTGCGGCGTAACCTGCTTCGCAAGCAGGGCAGGATGCAGAGGTGGAGACGTGCCGGGCTGCTATTACTATTCCGGTCGTCGATACCATAGGACCTGAGTTGAACTGAGCGGTGATTGTCTTGCGATATCTTGGGTCATAAAAGGACCGCATTACCTCCATTTCCAGGCATGCTACCCTCTGGTAATTGTACCCTCTGGTAATTCAATATAGCCATGGAAAATTACCAATTTGTACATGATTTTCCTATCAACCATGGCCGGTTTCCACGGCCATGTTAGACTAGCAGAGGGTACCGCCTCTGGTTGTGGAAATGCAACAGGACATTTCCAGCAAGCCGTGCTCCCTTGAGCTTCGCCCCGCACAGGACTGTTGCTGGATGCCGACCGTGGGGCAGCCCTCTTCTCATTGAACGGAGCCTTTCAGGGTGGCTGCAGACTCCCGCAACGCCCCATGTGACGTGCTGCAATGGCATGTGTTTCCACCCGATACCTCCGGAATGATTTACAACTCATTATATGCAGTTGTGACTCACCCACAATTACACACTACAGGAGGGGATTTCGCCCACAAAGAGAAAGTGCCGTCCGCAAAAAAAACATTAGGGCCACATATAGCTGTGCTGGAAAAAACAGCAGGGTGGCCCTAAAAAACAAGGAGACACGGGCTGGTGTCACCGTGGCTAGCCAAACACCAGCGAGCCAAAAAAGGGGCCGGCAACTGGCTGCACTGCCTGAACATGTGCCAGGAATGCAAACAGGCGGCTCATTAGCCCCAACATCGCCCTTCAGCGAGATTCACGAAGGAGGGGATTTCAGATTTTCTTTGATTTCCAAACTCATTATTTCCAAAGTCATAACTGGAAAATTTTAGTCTACATATATCTACATAGCTTTCAAATGCTTTCAAAATATTTCAAAATTGCTGTTGTGTTTTTCCGGAAAAAAAACCCGGTTTCCGACACAAAACACCGGTCACCGTCACCAGTGGTGACCCCTTTTGGGGGCCACCAAGCCGTTGAACCGACGCCACCGTCCTGAGGTATTTCTGCACTGCCTTAGATGTATACAAGGACTCGGTGGAACTTTGCAAAAGGCCCTGGGAAGAGTTTCCCGTCCGTTTGGAGGATGCGACTAGGCTGACTAGGCTGACTAGGCTGAAGCAGGGGAAAGATGGGAATATTCCTGGCACACAATTGATATATATATATATAGATATAATATAATATACACATACACATGCACATAATTGATCGATATACTTAGGTGTAGTGTAGTTCATTGATACAATTGATATCACTATGTATATTATATATATAGATGCATAGCTATGTTCGATATAATTTAGATTTATTAGTGCAACCAATTCGTATATAACCAGTCACACTTGATATAAGTAGCATAGTATCATAATTGAATCTTATCGATAAAATTATATTGTGTACAGACTCTGGTAATCTAACATAGCTATGAAAAACACCTGGTTGTAGATGCTTTACGTACTAAACACATGCTGGTTCTCCATATTATACAGCTATGTTAGATTGCCGGAGGGAATGTATAACTTGTAAATATACGTTTATGATGCTGCACAATGCCAATGCACATGGGTATATATATATAATTAAATACATTATGCTGAAGCTGGAACCATGTCTTGTTTATTTGTGGGACCTGGTTGCCTCAAACGGTAAGAATATCACCCTGCCATTTTTTGTTTGGTTTTAGAGAAACAAAGGGTCGCAGTCCCATGCCCCTTGTCATTTGCATTTGCTGTGAGGGGTAGCGATTTTCATGAGGTCATTGATACGCCTCAGTTCCTGAACGAGAACTTCTTTGAGAAGGAAGATTGGGATGCGCTCGATGCGCGGGAGAACCCTCACTGGGATCCTTTTATTTCAGACGGGGCTGATGATTCCCCACAGGCCCTGGAACAGTTGCTTTGCGGCGAGCAATTCAAAGACGACACGTCCAAGAGTGGTGATGCGGGGGCTCTCTGCTGATAGATAAGGTAGTGTGCTGCTGTACAGGCTTTGCAGCACCTACGGTCTATGACAAGATATCTTTGCATAGAGTCAAAAGTCCAGCAGATGGGTTTTCGCCTGAGGTTGAGGGCTTCGACTGGGGAAAAAGCAGGTGAAAGGAGCCACCAGTGTGACATTCAGCATTTTGATTTCCATTTTTTTGCCAAGTTTCTTTTCCCCTAAGCCATTGGTTAGGGGTTACTTGCATCCATTACATCCCATTAGTCATACAAGTAAATTATTGCGACGGGGAAGTGATACACCTTTATTGGTCCCATTTCCCTGCCATTTGGGATGGAGGAAATTCCGTTGGTCCAGTGCCAGGTTGAAAGCCAAGTGGGCCAAGCGCAAACTTCGCAACGCAGTGGTCATCGCTGCAATGTTGGGAGTCCCAAGGCATCCTGCACCCTCTTTCTGAAGGCACATGGCTAGCAGAAGAAAACATTGCACATATGGATAAATATGGTGATTGTTATGGAAACATATTGTGATTGTGATGCATGTAGAGGGGGGCACATGCCATGTGTATATTATCCATGTATGGTGTATATGGATGTTTGTGGTGCATGTAGATGAATGTATGGGCGAATGGATGGATGGGATGCGCGGACAAACAGACCGACGGACAGATGGAGCAACAAACAATGACCGTTTTGGCTAGAGTTGCTTTGACGCTTCGACAGCAATGCACCACAAGAGGCCACAAGGGGATCCTTTTCTGGAGAGCTGTTCAGGCAGTTGATGCCTGTACAGGTTTGTTTGAGGCTTCTCACGCAGGTGACACACCTCTTCCCTTCTGAAAGATTGCTGAACCTGAGGTGTTGGGGGTCAGGGCCTCAATTGCAAAGGATTATTGGTCCCAGATGCCCCATGATAGTAGGACGGAGCCCGGCAGCAGCTGAGGGAACGTATGGCACAGAGACTGCAGCTCTGGCTGCGGGCCGCTCGAAAGGCACACTTTTTTTGGGCCTGCTCGAAACGCAGCCATGGCATCACCCTTTCACTTCGCAATCGCAGAGGAATTGCCAGCCAAAACTCGTTTCAGAGAAAATATATGAAAGAGTGAGACATATTTCAGCCCCACAAAAATATGCAGGCTTTCCAAGGTTCCATCATGATCATCTTGTTGCCTTGGTCTCAATGGCGGCGGCCAGTGCTTTGGCCAAAGTATTAGCCGATGCACCTCGCAGTAGCAAGACATGACTTTGGACAGCGTTAACTTCAGCAGTTTAAGAGGAGAACCCAAAAACCTGAAGATTTGCAACCCCAGCCACTCCAAAAAGCATCAGCCCATGCCCTGAAGATTGGAACATGTTGAAACAGATTAACACTTTGGATCAATTGAATTCTCCAAATGCACATTATTCCGGATATATATATATTTATGTAGTACATATAATATTTACATATATTTACATATAATTATATAATATATACATTATCTCACATATCTGATGTATTGCATTTGAAGTCCAGCTTGGGAATGCTGGGGCCGTTGGCTTCGGCCACCGGCCTTAGCAGCATGGGCGGCCGTGGCGCGGCCGTGGCGCTTGGGTGTAGCTAAGGCGCCAAAGAATGGGATGATCAGGTCGTTGACTGCGGATTCCTTATCATATGCGATCATACGTAACGAGATGTCGTAGAATTCTTCTATCCTTTTTAAGTGCTGTCACTAATTATCTAACATTAATGTACATCAATTTATATATACCTAACCATCCAAGTGAAAATGATGCTCTCGTAAATTCAGGAATTTTCAGATATGTGACCAGCAACTCATAATTCATCCGAATTCATCATAATCCATGACAATTCATCCATCATGAGTATCATCATGCGTACAACCCGGTAAATTCATCAACTTCATCAGTTTGATCAAATCCACGAAAGTTCTCATAGTTCATCATATTTCTCATCAACTTACCACCTTTTTTCCATGATGTTCTCGAAATTCATCAGGAATAGTATCCCCCTACTTCAACACGTCCGTTCTATGGCTCCAAACATGTGGTTTCATCCCTTACATCCACAACAGTCTTTGGGGGTACCTGCGGGTGGATTTGACCCTGGCGCCAGGCCCAGGGCCATGGTGAAGCGTCCCTGGGCTGCATGAGATCAGTATATCACATATGAATCTATGATCTAAATCTATAGTTATACATCTTATACCATATGCACACTCATGAATATATTGTACACACACATGTATAAGTATATATATATAATATAACACAGATGCCACGTTTTTTTCCCAGATGATGGAATTTAGATTGAGGAGGAACCAACATCGTTCATGCGTAGACTGTTCTGCTTGGTGCGTAGGTCCTGCGTAGGCATATGGCGTAGGATCACGTAGGAGAGGCTGCGTAGGCAGTCTCGCGTAGGCGCTTGTTTAGGTGTTCTGGATCGTTTGTTTCTGACCTCGGACTCTTGTTTTTTCTTGGTGGGTTACAATGATTTTGCATGCAAACTGGATTGTATGATTCATAATAATATAGCTGGAAGAAAGGGAGATTAAAGAAACAAACGCTTTTTCAGAAAATTACAGTGCCAAGTTTTCAGAAATCCATTTTTGGTTCGGACTTTCGCGTAGGCTCGGCGTAGGCCCTCGCGTAGGAAACGCGTAGGCCCTCAGGTCACATTGTGGCCCGTAGCCCATCCAAAGTTTTTCCAAGGTCAATATCTGCCTCAGGTCACATTGTGGCCCGTAGCCCATCCAAAGTTTTTCCAAGGTCAATATCTGACTATCTTCCATGACAAAGTGCTCCACGCTTGATGGGTTGTCGCCTTCCTTTCACAAGTCATCCAAAGAATCGTCATCTTCCAATATTTCTTATTTCTCTTCTGAACCAGAATCGTGACCACATCACGTCAAGTAAAGAGATCGTTGCAGCAACTTTCGCTGAGGCAACTGCGTAGGCACTTCTTAAAAGGTAACCCTCGCGTAGGCAGTTTCGCATGGGAGGAGTGGTTTGCGTAGGCCCCACGTAGGTGTCCCAATTTGTGTATTGCGGTTTAGCAAGGAAAAAAAGCACAACTCAATTTTGGTACACTAGATCTCTTGCTCTCTCTCCCCTTATTGCGTGCTGAATTTTTTGGCCTGTACTCAAGATTCTTTGCAACCTTTGGTCCCGGAAATTGCCGGATGCCCAGGCAGTCGACAATTCTGTGGCCGCTCCAAGAGATGCTTCCTATGTCAGGGCCCTAAGGGCTGCAGGGGCAATCGGGATGCATTGGGCCCCCCCACCAGCAAGGTATGGGCCTTCCCGCGGCGATTTCGTTGATCGCCCTGGTCTGGGGCAACAGCAGGCGGCCAGAGAGGTGAAAAATGATGGATCCAAAGGTATTGGGCAATAGAAAAGCATGCGAAAATATCAAGAGCCAGGGTTAGAGAGCTGGATATCGATGGAATGAAATCGTCGATGTTTTTCAGATCTGGACAGTTGGTGCAGGTGGATGAGCCAGTTCGATCCTGGCAACATCCGAGCCAGCTTGCAGATGGAAGCTTCGGTGGTCGTGGAAGCAACCCAGGACCACAGAGCCAAACTGCTTGGTGGTTTCTAAAATGGGTGCGGTTTCAAAATAGGATACCCTGCAGTAGACCAACATAGCTATGGAAAACTACCATGTTTTTTTTTTGGGGGGGTAAATAATCTATTATATATATATAATATGTATATATATATAATATATGTATATATATATAGTGATAATGATGATGAACCAGTGGATTTGGGGGTATGTTGTTTTCAGACAGAGCCAGTGGCATACCGATTACCGTGGGATGATCCCAACTGACGCCCTTTCGAAGATTTGGGGAAGGCTTGATCATCTTTTGCAAGGGTTGAGACTAGCTACAGTACCAGGTAGGTGTCAGAAGCCAGCGGTTTGAACATTTGGGTATCTTTTTTGTGAAGTGTTCACCAGCAAGCCAGGAAAAATGTACGCATATGAAATGCGACACTGGTCCTTGAAACTGGCTGAAACCGCATCTTCTGTCAGGAACGTGCGCTGGCAGCAAAGAACAGAATCTTGGCGGCGGGCAGCTCCAATCTTCAACATCCCCGAAACGGCGTGAGGGCAAAACAGGGCACACAAACAATTGCATACCATTTTCAGCAATTTTCCAGGTTTCAGCTCCTCCCGTGGAGCTTCCTGTCAAGTGATTCTATGCAGCTGCCAGACACATCCGTCCTGCCAGACACAGTTGGATACAGTATCCCAGTCGCCCCAAACAATGCTGGTCCAAAGAACCCTTCTCAGATTGAAAGCTGCAAGGGCCCGTAATCACCCCCATGCAAGCAAATGGTATTAGACCCTGTTTAGAGATAGTCATGAGATGTCATGAGTAAAAGAGGAATCTATTTTTGACTGCTAAACTTCATGTACCACCAAGGCCGGCTTTGCAACATTTTTACGTATTTGGACAGTACTTCGGTGGAGCTGTTCCACGTTCTCACTGTAGAGTCGTGGCGACGGCATGCACATGGAATCTTGGCGCGGAAGTGACAGTGGTGAACAGTGATGGTACATTGGGTTGCCCCCCACCCACTAGAAGTGGATAGTGAAGGCTAATGAATGTAGGCGGCCACTACTGAAAATGGGGTGAATCCTGGTAAATGGCAATGTGGGATAATTACCTTGGAGCTTTGAAGTTTGCAGGTGAATGGGTGAAGGTGGGTGGTTTTAAATGCCTTGTGCTTTCCCATCCCTGCGATGATGAACTCTTCCCCTTCTCCACCTGCAGGACTTTGCAACGAACCCATCCTGATCAATGACATGAATGTTCGAATCTACGTGCCGGACATGCCGGAGGAGTATTTCCGCTTGCCTTATCCAGCGGCCAAAGCTGACATGCTGCGTTACGGGCTTCTGTACCACCATGGTGGCATTTACTTTGATTCAGATGTGTTGGCCAAAGACTCAGACATGTTGCACAAAAATCTGAGCATCTCGTCATCAGAGCAGGATGGGTATGTCAGTTGTGAGTTGCTTCCATTGGAGCTTTCTCAGGTTGTGAAGGATTTGGACGAAGTGATCCAGCTAGCAGCAGAGAAAGGGATGGTCTCATACATGGATCAAAAGGATTCATCCAAAAGTTGTGTGGAGCTTAGAGAAGCGGTTGCGAACTCTTGAGACATGATCTGCAGTAAGTCTAAACAGAGCTTTGAGGTGGATAGGAGTTTGAAATGGTTTTGATGCGGGTTCAAAATGATCGACCCCCGAAATTGGTTGGAGAGATCCCGCAGCAAATGCTGGGGTCCACAGGTGCTCCATCCCTGAGCAATTCTCAGGTGGTGAAAGCTTCGCTTCCGACTTCGTGGGCGGCCAAAAGGGCAGCCCTTTCTTCAAGGTGAGATGGTAGCCTTGGGTGATGGAAATCTGGAGGGCACCCATCAATTTACACACACAGATAGATAGATAGATAGATAGATAGATAGATATATATATGTACATAAATAATAAAAAATAGATAAACACACACACACATATATATATAGATGCAATCTGATTCAAGAAGATAGGGTTTCATGGTGGGCAACAAGCCCGCAATCACGCCTTATCGGGTGGTGACCCTTTGGAGGGATACCCTTGGATTTTCTGCCAGGAAGTGTGGAGAAAGCAGAAGGCAGCTGTGAGAAAGCGGTGTCCAAAGTCTGACACGTCTCAGGACAGCCAGCAAATCCCCAATCCCATCATGTCCTATCCGCATTCCGAGCCGCGTTCCTGTGCAGCTACAGGAGACACTCTGCTGCTATGACAATGATGATGCGCCCTGCAACATCCCCTGGAACCAGCTGGGTGAAGGCATTGCACACTCTACTGGTAAGTCAGGGATCTCGACGTCACCTGGCAGGCTGGCAGGTTAACGGTTTATTGGGCAAGTGTGTTTCTCGCGGTATGCGCAGAAAAAAGCACAGGCGTAGATTCGTAGGTGGATGAACTGAGGCTGAAGAAGAAGCTTGACACATAATAAACATGTAACAACTCTCTGTGCAAGACGAGATTCCATTTGTTGATGTTGAACTGCCAGCACCAAGGCACTGCTTTGTCGGAGACACATCCTTCACGCCATCTGGATTTGTTGATGCTCTTGAGAAGTTCAATGGAGACACAAGCAAGGCAGAAGAACACATGAAGTTTCTTGCTTGAAGCCTTATGACCCCTCAGCTTGACAAGTTATATAAGTTGTCATTAAAGCTGGCAGTGGAGTTGAGATCAGCTGGACCAGTGGGTCCCTAAGTACTGGTAGTGATGGCATCATAGTATCATGGCAGGTATATCTGAATTTGGCGCGGCTTGCCTGGACGTAACTGGAAACTAACTCAGGTCAAAAGGAGCTGCCCATGTTCTGGAACCTAGGCGTCGAAAGGGTGAGGTGCTGGTGTGTGTGTGTGTCTCTCTCTCTCTCTCTCTCTCGCTCTCTGTATATATATACATATACATGCACACACACACACACATGTACATCCTAAACATATACCGAGTTTTTTTTTTTAAATATCCGCAGGTGAATATGCCTTGGGACTTCGAATTCTGTTGGTTTTTCTGGTGCTTTCCTTTCCCAGCGCCTTGTTGAGAGCACAGCTGAGGAGCGGACGGCGTACCACACCTTCAAGGCGATCTTACAGTGGCCGTCGAGCTGCAAGCATTTTCGCGACAGGTGGGACCATGTGGGACCTATGACTTATGAGTTGGGGTTAGAACTCCAGCTACCCGTTTGAGATCTAAGTTTTCTGGGGTTAGAGCCAACATGAGCCAACCCAAGGCTTGCAACCCACGGGATCAGAGCTGCAGCCAGGTCCACTCTGTTGGGAGAACTTTTCAGCCGAAGTTTCAGTTCCAGTCATGGCCAGAGGCCGTCAGCAGCTTAGTCCCTGAGCTTGTCGGTGGCCTGAAGTGCGAAAAGCAATGGAAGCTATACCCTAAATCACCTTTTATTATCATTTGAGGGTATACCATGGTATACCCCTTTTGTAACCAGACCCAGAGAATGAGCCGCTTGGGTTGCAGAGGCCGCCTGCAGTGGCGACCACGTCTCTGTTTCTGAAGCGGCATCCCGAGTTTGCGGCTCTCATTCGCAAAGAAGGGCAAGTGCCATGCTGGTCCAAGGTGCTGATGCAATTTGATGGCCACATGGGCAGCTGAGAAGCCATGATTGACTGGTAATTAATGAGCCAATTTCATCCAATTTCACGAAATTTCGAGAGAGAGAGAGAGAGAGTGTGGCCCTGTAAGCGATGCAAGCCTTGGACCATATGGCAATTTGGCAGTGGACAGGGGTGGCACGATGCGTTGTCAGATGATGTGCCGGCTGCCCCTTGGCTGAACTGTGGCAGCTGGACATAGCTTGACCTCGAGAATTATCGTTGCATGATGTTGCATGTTTTTCGGCCAGCGAAATCTAATTCAATATATTTCAATACGATGATCACTCCTGCCCAAAAATCAAGGCCCTCAAATTCAAATGACCGGACATCCCAAGAAAGGCTGGAGGTCAGACGAGGAACATGTGAAACACTTCAGTACAATTTGCTGGGAGGATGTGGGTCCACCTGGGTCCACCTGGGTCCACCTTAAATGGGCAAAGTTTTCCAGTGATTCCCTGGTCGAAGAATTCTCGAAGACCGCTCGGGAGCACCTCTATAGCTGGGTCCTTGCAAGCTGAGGTGTCTCTAGAGGTGTCCAAACAACAGCCAAGTGAAACTCCGGCAAAGAATTGCAAGATCTTCACGCTTTGGGAATACAAGGAGCAGGGTCCTGGGTGGGAATTTGTGAGGCAGGGACCGGCAGATGTTGGGATATTGAAATCTTACCTTACCATACCTTACCTATTTTTTGTGCGGTGATATGCGGTGACTGGGAATACGGCTGATCGCCAGTTCAACGCTTTTATTGAAGGCACGTGATGGGTTTCAAAGACTTTCCACATATTTTCACCTTTAATGCCTACCTGAGATGATGATTCTCAACTTACTTCCATACCTTTCAGAAGGGTTGCAAGCACAAGTGATCTGCTTTGCTGCGTGCCAATCTCTTGATGCTTGCTGAAGATCATGGGCAACACACAGAGAGAGCGAGAGAGAGAGAGAGAGAGGAAGCGCTGAGCAGGGAAAAAACGAAGTCACTCCCTGTCCAACGAAACAGGAAGGCCTCGTAAAATGAATGTAAATGGCAAAATCATACCCCAGGGTATACAAAATCCCCTCATACTTGGTGGTTCACCCCAGTTAGTAATTTATAACCCCAGTCAAAAGTGCATAACCGATAACCCTCCTCACCCACAATTACCATGGTTATAACCGGGATCATAACCCACCATTTTTTGTTTCTGAATCCCCAGCTCCAATGCTTCGCGGGTGGCTTCCCCAGGACGCCCCTCTCTATGCACGGCTGAATGTGGAGAGCTGGCGACGGCATACGCGCGAGCTTTGCGAGGAACCCATCCTGGTGAATTCCAAAAATGTCATGAAGTGCCTTGGGGATGGTTGAAGAATGTCCTTTATATTCGCGCGCAAAGATATAATAGCAAAATGAAATCACGCAGGTCTAGGGTCCGAGCCCGCCATTCCGTATGGATTGAGGTGGATTCCGGACATGCCAAAGGAGTTCTTCAGATTTCCATACCATGCAGCCACCTCGGATTTGATCAGACACTTGGCATATTTAGATATGTTTAAGTCAAACTCTTGCTTGGGCTAATTGTGGGCATTGGACCGTTCAACTATTTTGAGTTGTCCTTCTGGTCCAACTGGTTTGAGGATGTTTGAGGCTTCCATTGTTGAAGCTGATCACCCATCCCAGAATCAGCAGCCAAAATCGGGCGCTCCGTCAGGATATGGGCTGCTGTATCATCATGGAGGTATCTACATGGATGCAGACTTCATTGTCCTCAAAGATCTGACGCCCGTGATCCAACGCCTGGATGATCATGATCTCATCTCCTATGCCACCAACAGCAACGCAGGTGGCGTTTGTTCTGATAGCTTCAGCTCCAACTTCATTGCGGGTCGCAAGGGAAGTATCTTCATGAAGAAGATGTGGGACAAGCAGAAGGCATCTGAAAGGGTCATCTCTTTTCCGCTGTGGGTTTGGGCAGTTGAAAGACGGACTTTACAATTGAGTGATCCACGAAGCCAGCTCTGTTGGTGGATGCTTTAAGCCAAGTTCATCGTTGCTTTCCACACATATCTGAATCCACACAATAGGCTTCAGCATATTTACACAAATATAATATAACTGACATAATCATGTATATGCCTGTATATATATATATATACACCTACAGGGCATGTCATGCCATGCAACATCTGGAGAGCGACCCAGATTGACAATCTGCACGAGTAGGAAGTCCAATCCTTCCTGCCATATGCCACTGTCGGGTCAAGCCTTGTCAGGCGATGATCACGAAGCACTGTCCTTTGTCGGACAAAACGAAAGAGATCGTTTGCTGCTTTGACGATCCCAAGGTGGGTCGGGATGGGTCGGGAATGCATGTCTCAGTTTTTCAGTTGAATGTTCTTCGTTCTTCCCCCTATCATCACCCCAATCAAGATGAGCTGGGAATATGTTTTCTATGATCATCCCAATTTCTACCGGTTGTTGAAGATGCTCCAAGTTTGGAGTGCTGAGTTGGGCATCCCCTTGAGGTGGAATGTCACGTCCCTTTTGCTGGCCTCTGGGATTGCACTTAGCCAGGTCTGTGTCGTTCTCTGATTTCAGCGTTCATCCCCTGGTTGGGATGATGTACCATGACATACCCCCATGGTCAGGGCCAACATGCCGCATTTCCTTTCCAGGAATTGGTGAAGGTACATCACATCCCATGCTGAACAAGATGCTGAAGGACAAGGTTCCCATGAAGACCTATTGCTTCGCAGATGAGGAGTCCTTTGTTCCAGATCATTTCGCGTATGTCTTGGAACACGTGCCTGACCTTCAAGAAGCTCAGAGCTACATGGAGAAACGGGGCATCAAAAAAGGCTTGGACCGGATGGCTTTTCATATGTTCAACTCCATCATCCCATTGAAGACCTACAACTGCCAGAAGCTTTTTACCAAGGCGCCGTCGGAAAGTGGGCATGTTACTTAGATTGGACTGAGATTTTCTTAGATTGTACAGCTATGTGCAGCTCTTGGAAAGGGGTTTTCAATGCCTGTGATTTAAAATGATTTGACATTCTCTTGGCCAAAGTGAATGTTTCCCATGCATCCCATCCGGTCGCACCCTGGACAGGGCACCACCGCGGGCCATCTCTACCTGACCTCCTTTAGTACGGGCCATGGTAAGGAACCCAAACCAAAATCCAAGGAAACTCAGGCCGCGTGGCGGGCCGACGGGGGATGGTGACCCGGTAGGGTAAGACTTGCTAGCCCTGTGATGCCTGGAATATATCGTGGGGTATCTCACAGTTGCCAACAGTTGCAGAACTGTTGCAGAACTGTTGCAGACCGGTTGGCAACTTCAGGGAGCATAAAGGCGGGAATCCCACCAATTCATAGGTGTGAACCATGAATGGGAGCCAGGCCTTCCTGGCTGAGCATCCAGACTTTGCCGAGTTCCAACAAAGCCACAAGGGTGGCTGGCCCTGCAAGTCGGCTCACAAGGCGGCTCCAGCTGTTTCGCAACCTGGCAGGGACATGTTGCTTTCAATTTCCTCCCGTCCCCAACAGCCAATAATTACCGGGTGGTTTGTGGTTTGAAATCCCAGGATTTCCCTCTGGGACTGGAGACGCACTTCTAACCCTTACAAGCCAAATTGCTAACCTCAAGAGATCTTTGCCTAACCCCAACAAGGTAGATTTTGCTAACCACAAAAACATTCTTGACCCTTATATTTTCACTAACCTCAATATTGTTATTTCACTAACCACAATATTATGCATTTCACTAACCTCTAAGCCTAAAAGCATCAGTCCTAAGGAATAATGTGATGAAATTAGTTTGCAACAACAAAATGTTCCTTGATATATATATATATACGTATATATATATATATATATATCTGGACACAAAAATTTTGCATCCAAAACCCCGGGGTTTGGCGTTTTGGTTCCAGCAAGAAGCGACGAAGGTCGTTTAGAACAGAGAATGCATGGCTTGTTTGGAAAATCTTGCGCTTAGAGTCTGAGAGCACCAGGAAGGCCATTCAACATATTCAAGCTGTGAGTGTCGTGGCTAAACCTCGTTGACTAATTGGCCAGAATGCTTCAAATCTATTTAAATCTGTAGTATTTAAATTCAAGGGAAAAGGAGAGGAGTTAAAAAGGGAAAAGGAGAGGAGTTAAAAAGGGAAAAGGAGAGGAGTTAAAAAGGGAAAAGGAGAGGAGTTAAAAAGGGAAAAGGAGAGGAGTTAAAAAGGGAAAAGGAGAGGAGTTAAAAAGGAAAAAGGAGAGGAGTTAAAAAGGGAAAAGGAGAGGAGTTAAAAAGGGAAAAGGAGAGGAAAAAGGGAAAAAAACAAATCACCTAGTAAGGTTAGTGGTTAGGGTTAGTACACCTAGTAATGGTTAGTGGTTAGGGTTAGTACACCTAGTAATGGTTAACAATTTTTTATTTAAGGGTTTGATTCCCCATGGGGTTAGAAAAGCATGCGTGTAATGGTCATGAATTTGCAGTATAAGGGTTAGAAAGGCAACTGAATATAAGGGTTAGGCGTGGTCGTGTTTGGGACTGTGAGTACTGGTAGTGCCAGAGGTGATGCTGAATCTGTATCCCGTATCCCCACACCTCCAAAGCCAAACCACCAGGAATAGCAACCACCAGATAGAAAAGGAACATCCTATTCAAACAGTAGATTATGTTTCAGAAGAGATTATAGTAGATTTTCTTCAATATGTCTATAGATATTATAGATATATTAGATATTTTAGATAGATCTAACTGTCTAACTATAAATATGTTTCATATATAGAGGATAAATTATAGTAGACATGATGCACTGATTACTTTTCTATCTTGTTGGTTGCTACTGTCGGCCGGGTCGCCCAGGGACTTCGCCGGCGCGCCTGCGCCGGCACACCCGGCGCCTGTCGCCGCGGCACCGGCGGTACCGGCGAAGGATGCGGGCGTGATGGAAGTGGTAAACACAGGTACAGCTGGCGGGGGAGATTCGTATTTCCTGTTTCACCATATAGAAATAGGATGAAATAGGGGTTTCACATGGTTTCACCATCCAAAAATAGGCATTGAACGGTGCATCAACAATAGGGATTTAATCAATGGATCATGATGATAATATGATAATTGATATTTCGGTGTGTCTGAAAATGAGGTATCCCCATGGCAATGGCATCAAATGGCTTGCTGGGACAATGACGATCCACTGGGCATAGAAAGAGGTGCCCTATTTTCAGACAAACCCAGGTGAGTGACGTGATTTCCCAGCGATGATTTCCCAGCCATGTTTGACTACCCCAGGGATCCCCAGGGTACATCCTGTCAGTCCTGTAGATGCAATTCGTGTAAACGATCCTTTTTCAGATCGGTTCTTTCTCTCAACGACCCTCCAGTAAACAAAGATAGCAACAGAGAATCCTCATTGTCAATACTTGTAACTATCTGTCTATGTTGATATCCCACTATATAATCTGATTGGTATTGGGTTAGGGTGTGAATTGCGACAACCCACTTGCCAACCAGTTTGTTCTATATCTATAGCTCATTCGTCAGAAACTGGGTTTTGCTAAGGCGACTAGAGACTAGAGGATTCCCTACAGATACAAAGGTAGGACATTCCAGTCAATTTCATCTGCTTTTGAAGCTGCTAAAGTTCCATATTTGGAGTGTTAATGATGAAATCTTCCACTCCAGCGGACCCCGGCACTTCCAGGCTCAACATCGTGCAAGATCTTCACCTGGTGGGAGTATGAGGCGTGGCCATGTCCCAAGTGCTGCAGGGCTGCAGGATTCCTTTTCAATCAGTACTTGGATGCTTCCATATGCCACCCAAACAAACCCCTGAAGCGCACAAATGCTTGGTATATAACAAATATAACAACATATAACAACCTATATAGAATGTTTTTTTTTGTTTAAATGTTAATTTTACTGCTTGCTATATAACATCCACGTAACTCAAGGATTCATCCGCGTCACCATGGCAGGGATTGGGCCCCCTCTACCTGCGCATCAACGTGGAATCCTGGCGGCGGCGTGCGCCTCAATGCTCCGAACCGGTGCTGTTGACGGCTGCCAATGAAACCTGGCTGCACGCCCAGCTATGGCGGCTATGGTTATTCTATGTTATTCTATGGTTATTCTATACTTATGGCATCTTGTCACTGGAAAGATTCAGCATGGAAAACCTATATATTTTACTATTTGGTTTCGCACGTGATTGGGAAATGTGGCAACGTTTTCGTCCCCAACTGCACTTTGAGAGAGCACTGTTTGGACCTGCCCAGCTATTCACTAACCAAGGTACGGGAGCACGTGCCTTGGATTTGATGTTCTGAGCCGTTGATCTAGCAACAATTTGAAGGCACCCATGCCCATTGTATTGGTCCCAGTGGTCCCATGTCACCACTGCGGCCCTAACTTCCAAGGTGCCAGACGTGCCGGAGGAATTTTTCCGACTTCCCTATCCGGAGGTGGGATCCCCGAACCCAGTCCCAGCCGTCCCAGCCACAGTTCTGGCACCCAGGGAGTCTGTCGGATGCCAGGCGCGGGCTGATTCCATCCGATGGGGTGCCATCTATCACAATGGCGGTGTCTTCTTGGAGCCGGATGTGCTGATGGCAGGGGATATCTCCACCATTCTTGAGAAATTGGTGCCTTGATTCAAGACTTGGGGGACTTGGGGTGTCAGGTAAGTTATCCAACACCTACCTTGCGGCTGTGCTAGACTGTCCTGTCACATAGAGTTCCTGACTCCAAGATACTCCAAGGCACAGCGGAAATACTAGTCAGAAAAAAACAAACAAACACACTTCAGTGCCTTTGAACACCTTCGAACATATCTTTTAATACCTTGCCTCCTCTCAGGACTCATATGACCTGATTTCCTCGCAAGAAGATCCGGCCGAAGAACAATGCACTGATCAATTCAATCCAGCCATCATTGCTGGCCCGAAGGGCAGCCCGTACTTGAAGGCTGGCGAGTTGTTGATCGGTTGTACTGTACAGTAGCCGTTCAATCCTGTTGGTCATTGATGCCAGGCAGTGTGGGAAGCTCACAGGACCAAAATGGTGAAACACTGCCCTTTGAAAGATAAAGAGAAGGAGATCATTTGCTGCTTCGATGAAGTGAAGGTGGCTGGGCGTAAATTCTTGGAAAGTTCAGGTGCAATGCCCTGTCTCGGGCAGCTTTGGAGTGTTTCATGCAAAGGCAAACTGTGCCCAACAAACTTCGGCTTTTCTGTCAGGGGTGCCTTTGACCTTCATCCACAATAATGCAGTACAGCCAATAATAAACCATCCCCAAGTCATTACCTTTGGTATGGGTGCTACAACACCATCCCCAAATGGTAGGTTTGTGGCAGCCCACATTAATTAGTCGCTGAGCTGAGGAGAACTGCCATGTGCCTTGGCTGTCCATGAACAGAGGCATCGCTCACCCCGTCCTGCGCGAGTGGAAGAAAAACGGCAAACTCAACAGCTATTGTTTCTACAGGCCAGGTCCCATATGGCCAAGTTCCAGTGGGCAAGTGGCAAGTGGGATCATGAATGGTGTTGCAACCAGATTTCACCGGTATTTTGGATGTACTTGTCAACCATTCGACCAGTTGGATACCAGTTTATGGATATATTCAGCAATGGCTTAACTAGTTTTGGTGGTGCATTTAGCATTACTAGCATCATTTAGCCACATGCCGCAGGGGCGATGCTTTCCAGCCGAACCAGCTGGGAGAGGCGCTGAAGTTGTGGGATGGGCAATGGATCGATACCACATACAAAGTAAATACAATGTGTGTGTGTCCTGATTTGCCCACTATATTGCACTATATTGCACTCCAATTCTAACTTGGACAAGTCCCACGCACATTTAGACTCTAGACTTCAGTTGGTTAAACATGTGGGCGTTTGAACTCCAGCTACATATCCAGCTGTAATTCCCTTGTGGCAGGAGTCTTGAGGGAAGTTGAATCGTTGAAATTCCACGGCTAAAAGGCTACCAGCTTCACATAGCTACACTATGGATGGCGGTGGACCACTGACCAGCCCTGACCAGCCCTGGTTGCAAGGTGGTGCGTCAGCGCTGGGAGCTGGACCGTGCTCGGAAGTTCTGGGAGAAGCGAAATGTGGAGAGGCCTTTAGTGCCGACCCCCCGATGTTGGTGGATGGTTTTGCCTTTCGTTGTGCCACGAATGTGTCGTTTTTTTTTCTCTAACCGGTGATTTAGCAGGATGACAAACCTTGATTGTGGAGTGGCACTGGCCAACTGTGAGCTCTTAGAACTTCTTAGAACCAATAATTTTCAAGGGCCACGGTACTCTTTTTCAGCATCCCCACAAGATGGGCTTGGAAAACGATGGGATTTCAAAGCGAAAAAGGCCCTTGGAGAGGATCCTGTACCACTTCCAGCAGCATGGCATGCAGCTGCAGGTGCGGACCCCTTTTTCTTTGAAAGTCCGGGGGACAAAATAGCCGAAAACAAGGCTGAGTTTAGGGTAAACAATTGTCCATCATTTTTTTTAGATTCCAAGTTTTGATATCATGTGGCTTTGACATTGCCTGATTGACATGTATTTCTCCTTGGTTTGGTCAACTTTTATGTTCTCAGATTTTTGGAAGTTGAGCAAAGTTCGGCAGCTCCGGAGGAGTTGGATTGTGCGAAGCTCTTCAATACTTCAACTGCTATTGGAGCTCTTTATGCTGGAGCATTTGCGGCTGAAGCCAGCAAACCTTTGACAAGATCTGACCCCTGGTAGCACACACATTCAGTCATGATTCTTGAAAGAGTTTATGAGGCAAATCGTACCTAGAAGCCTTCTGTCGGCCCTTGCAGCATATCCACCCGGGAAGTCAAAGTTGGTGTATGCGGCTTGCATCAAAGGACTCAAAAGAGACGGCAAAATTCTACCGCGACAATCCTTTCATGATGCTTTGCCAAAATTTTGGTGTGTGGCAGCAGGCGGCTGTTGACTTCAAATTGATTGACAGAAGTGGTGGCATGTGTGGCACGGATAGGTAAGTCATTGGAAGCAAGTTGTGTGCAGTGGGTTGCACTGAGCATCCTGTGCCAAGGAAGAGTGTGAACCACGAATTTCAGGACGGGTGGGCTCTTGTATATATGTCTTCAAATTTAGGAACCCACATGTCATCAATGTCATATTTTGATTCATTCTTGAGATAAGAGGTGATGTATGATATGGGAAGATCAGCGGATTCGAATTTAGGTGGAGACACTTACACAATATGAATATGTCACAAAACACCCCTGGGTCATGCCATATGCTTCCTTATGACTGAAAGCTGCCAGGGTGGCTTGCCTTGCAAGCAAACTGGACCACCAGCCCTACCGACACTGCCTCCGGACTTTGGAGGACGGGTCACTGTGGCATCAGCAGATCCATGGCCAAAATGTCTGGGAAATTCTCGGAACAAAACACGACGTGTTCAAGTATCTTAAAGTCACTTCCTGGATGTTCATCTGGATGCTTGGGTTTTTTGAATGTTTTTGACATGTTTGATCCATGTTTCAAAAAACTCAGTGATTTACCAGCCCAGTTGCTAGCACGGCCAAAACCAAAACCCTGCAGCAGGTAAGAAGGCCTGTCGGATTTTCACCCTCTGGGAGTACCCAGAAGGAGGACCGGACGGGCGCAGGGATGGTGACAAAAACATACAAAAAAATCATGGGCTGCTATAAACCACAATCAGAATAACTTCATAATCTACATAACCAACTGGGGTTTACCATAGCTTACCATTGGGCTTGCCACCTTACCCAGTTTCGACTTCACGCTCAGTGGTGAACCCACCTGGCCGACTGGTCAGGAGTGCCTGTCTTCAAGTTGCTGAATATTGAGTCGTGGCGGCGGCACACCCATGGACTTTGTCAGGAGCCCATCTTGATCAATGACAAGAGCCCAGGATGCAACCCAGGAGGTCTCCTGACGTTTCAAGATTTTCTAACTGCTGCTGTGTAGGTGTGGATGTAGATGTAGATGCAGACTTAGATGATGATGGTGGTGGTGATGATGAAACATTTTGCCACACTTGTGTGACGCCCTCAGGAATGTAAAGGAATGGATTCCAGACATGCCGGACGAGTACTTTAGGCCTCGGCCTGGCCCTATCACTTTGTTAGATCCTATTGACCCTTTTACCACCTACATTCAGTTTGCATGTAGTCTAGTTACTAGTTGAGTCGGAAAATGTGGAATCCCCAGATTTGACGGCTGGTAAATGTTCATCATGTTCATGATTCATAACCTATCTGTTTTTCCAACACTGCCATAATTTGGGTGTCCATTCTGATGGACAGCGGAGGATGCCATCGCCAGCTCCCAAGTCGGACTTGATTCGCTATGCCTTGCTGTACCACCATGGTGGCCTCTACATGGATGCCGACTTCGTTGCAGTGAAGGTGCCGGGAATGTTGGGGGTGATCCTCCATACTGGGTATGTTGGTAAGTTTGTGCGGGAGAACATTTCTGAAGAGTTCAACCATGTTCAACAGAACGCAGTTGAGTTTGTTCAACTTTGACATGGTTGGCAGGAATTTGGGGTTTTCATATGTTTTCATATGTTTTCATAGGGTTTTCAAGGTTTGAACTGTATCCATACTGTATTCCTTTGTTGCAGCGTTGGGAAGCACCGAGCACCATGGCGGAAGTCCAACAAGTCCAGTTTTTTTGGAGGACATGGATCCCATCGTGGCGTTGCTGGAGACCCATGATTTCATCTCCTACCAAGAGAAGGGACGCTCGGCCGATCTGGAGATGGGAGATGGAGATGGATTTTTCCTTAAGATATATGATATATAATGATATATAATGATATATAATGATATATAATGATATATATATATGCATGGAGCTTTTGCAATCAAATCATCAACACTTCATTAATCACTATATTAATAAGATTAATTCAACATTACTAAACACATGAAACATTCGCAAGATGTCCCAGATCTTCCATTCGCATCTCTTTGCCACGGCACCAGTTTGATGGCCGGGGAGCGCTCACGCAGGAGAAGCGGGTCAAGCATGCTCTGCAGCCTTCAGCTCCAATCTCATCGGTGGGAGGACATTGTTGGGACCAAAGGGTGGGTTTCCATAAATGGGGGGGTACCTAAAAATGGATGGATATGGATGGTTTATAAATGTTTATAATTCAAAATCCGATTAATTAAAATGGATGATTTTTAGAACCGCGCGCCAAAGGGGCCAATTTTGAGTGTATGAAGATCGAGCATATCGAGCCAGGCAGTCCCCCAGCTGCCCCAGCTGTTTTGGGCCAGGAAGGGGAGCCTGGTGCACAAATACATCTGGGAGCAGCAGAAGGAGAAGATGCAAGTCCGCTGTGTCAAAGGTGTGACGAATCAGGCTCGAAAGGGAAGAGGGCCTTTTTTGTGGGCAGAGCAAGATCATCCAAGATCCATCAATTGTGATGTGAAATGGGATACCCTCTGGTAAATTAACATAGCTATTGGAAATTGCCATTTATAGTGGATTTACCCATTAAAAATAGTGATTTTTCATAGCTATGTTAGTTTACCAGAGGGTAACACTGATTTAGAAAACTACAGGGCCAGTGCAACCGACCTTTGTGGAGAGAAGCAAAGGTAGAAGGTGAGAAGGTACAGTTCAAACACTCCCTGCACTCGCCTGTTTGTTCACTATAATTACTGAACTCAAGCGGAATTTGGTTTCACTCGTTGCAACCATTGTTGCCGTTTATTTTTGAACTTTCAGCACTTCCGTCGAGAGGCCTCATGTTTTTACCTCCCAGGCTTGCTGTTATGACTCGAAAAAGGTGTGCAACGTCCCGTGGGCATCGTTGGGGGAAGGTGTTGCCTGGCAGCAAGTGGTTCTGTGTTAAAGGCAATGTCGTTCGTCCTTTGTTGGGGACTGCATGTGAAGTAATTCATATGGTAGAATTATGTAAAATGAGGTAAACCATCCCCAATATTACAATAAAGATCCATAAAGGGGTGGCACAGAGCCATAGAAGTTTTCCATATTGGAAAGTCCCTTCCTTGAGGTTTCACATCCGGCCTACAATGATTTGCTGAGAACAGGCTGGACGTCGGTCGGTCGAACAAGAGTGGGTTTATGATCGTTTAAGAGTGGTTTTATGGTTTGCTGTGGAAAAACCGGATGATGACCACAGCAAAGATGACCTTGAAGATATGTGGAATTTCCAGGCGACATTTTCGAGACCTTCTGCTTTGCGGATGAGTGGACCTTTGTTCCGGACCATTTTGCGTATTCGGTGGAGCATATCCCATCCAAAGATGAGGCATTGAAATACATGACGGAAGCTCGGCATTGAGGTGATTCCGATTCCAACATCCAAACTTCAAATGGTGCAACAACATTAGTCAGTGGGCCAGCTGATGCTGGCATTGCCAAGGAAAGAGGCATCCAGAAGCCGCTAGACAGGACTGACATTTCATGACATTTCCACTGTATATCACTGGATTCACCGAAGCCATTCGAAACATTTCTGCCTCGATTCCGACATATTTTTCTGTAGCCATTTTAGAATCTACTTATACTAGATCTTATACTATCTTATACTGTAAAAGAATCATAAAACATTCATAAAACATGTGGGGCGCAGGATTGTGTACCACTTGTTCAACGCCATCACTCCGCTGAAAACCTGGAAATGCATGGCCTTACTGGATCCCCGACGACTCATGGGATATTTGTACACCGCCACCTGGATGGATGGGATGGGTTTTTGCGTCAGAATTCAGGAAAAAACAGGCTGGCTCTCAAAGGACAGTGCTATATCATACTATATCATAAACTAATAATATATATATACATATATATACATATATATTTGTATATTATATTATTATCTATAATTCACTATTATTCTATATATTTCTAGATGCTATAGATATATTCTGATGTAACTATTGCCTATCAACATGATTCATGTTACTCCAATCACTTGCTGTGATTGAGATGGATTTGTCAATTTCAATCACTTTCGTGGATTTGCCTTCGATTGCCAGGTGATTCCGTTCAGATCCACACATGTAGTAGGGTGGGGAGTAGGATGAGACAAACATTGACGACAAAATTGGTGAACCATATTGTGCGTGAATTCATCAAAAAAGGGAAATGAGAAATTAAGATCCACCATTCGATCATTTTTTGTGCATTGCGGTGGTTCACGTCAATGGTCCGGGTCCCTGCATCATTTCCGAAGATGTCGACATGGGCGTATCTGATAATCACGGGCATAGCCCCTAAAATGGCAAAGCAAAAATGCGGAAGATGATGTGGTCTATTCCGGTAGTCAAACGTGGCAATGGAACAATCCTCATTTACAGTTGATTTTCCCATTACCCTCTGGTAAACTAACATAACTATGGAAAATCACCATTTTTAATGGGTAAATCCACTATAAATGGCCATTTTCAATAGCTTTTTGTATGTTTACCAGAGGGTACCTCCATTTTGATCAGGGAAAAATTACGGCCACGTGTAACCAAGAACCACAGGCCTCGCTCCAAGGAAAGCTTCAAGTCGGAGAACGGCCGTCGACCTGTTGCAAAAAGTGAGGAGTCCACAGCTTGGCTCAAGGTGCCCATGGCTGCGGAAGCTGGTTGGAGGGATGTTTTTTGATGTTTTTTGTGTGCATTGCTGGAACGTATTGGAATATGTTTCACTTACTGTAATAAGGAGGAATCTAAACTTTTTATGACTAACAATATTCTGGAACATGCACGCACAGCCATGGGCCATAGGCATACTTTTTGGTGTGGAGAATGACTTGCTCAAGCAAAGTCTTCGAGGAGAGACTCTCAACAACAACATCCTCCTCGCTATGCCCAAATTCCCAAACCAACTGGACGGTTTAGATTTTTTGCAGTGGGTATAGTCAAGAATGTTCATGGTCTTGGACCCGAGTCCCGGCTTTAGATTTGTCAGGGGCTAATGAATCAAGTGACAGCACTCAGTAAGCGCGCAACTCTCAGTGTGGATATGATTTATGCCTGATTTCATGATATTTCATGGGCTTGCTAGGGCATGGATCAAACCCTACTAGCAGGGTCATTGCTCCTGGGGACGAGCTTACCAGGCCCATCCTGAGTTTACCAAGTACCAGCAGGCAGGATTTGTGGCTCCCCATTGGCCTTGGACGAGTCAACATGGCGAGGTGGTTCCCAAACGTTCCTAACGTGACTGAAGCAAAACCTTGGTTTCACTGGGTTGATGGCTAGCTGGGCTAGCTCTTGAGCTTTTTTTGGTAAGGCAAGGTTGAAAACATAAAGACCCGAACACGTCGAAACTGTGTTTTTCCTCACTCCAAACTCGAGCCAATTCGTGGATGGTGACAACATCCAACAGGTCTACAATGGATGGCAACCCTGCCCGGGTCCTGTGGGAACCACACCTGAGCCCACTGCTGAGATTCAGGAGGACGGATCGCTGCTTGGTGCAACATGTTGCAAAAATATACCCTCCGAACACGCTTTTTCTTTCCGTTACTTCTGTAAGCTTAGTAGTTGTACTATGTTGTACTCTGACTATATACAACCAACAACTGAATAGGAGGCCGACGGTGGCTGCAAAATCTTCACACTTTGGGAGTACAAAGCGGGACCACCTTTGTCTGTGGCGATCAACGTTGAAGGCCAGTCTCGGGTTTGAGGGCACCATATCATATCACAGCAAATCAGTCAAGGCATGGTAACATCAGACATCTATCATCTCATGCTACCATGCGCTATGGCATTATGGATCCAGTATGGTGATTCTCTGGTCGCACATTGTGGCATTCTGAAAGCTCCCAGCATTTGGCACCATCGATTCGCCGTCGCTGTTGCAGCTTCCAAACGCCGCCGCGATGCCATGGCGGTCCTTGCGCTGCATCCCCGGCCGGTCGTCGCCCCACCGGGCCCACCGGGCCCGCTGGGCCCGCTGGCCGCGCCCCTGGGGCGACAACGCGACGGGGCCAAAGGCCAGAGTTGGGCAGAAAGTGAGGACAAAGATAGCGGCCTCACAAGGTGACGTGACCTTAATTTATAGGGGATATATAGGGGGAATCTTTGCAAAAACAAACAAAGACCCAAAAAATTGGAGTTCGGATGGATAAAATGATGATGATCCATTGGAAGGTTGTGTAGGTCATTTTCAGAGCCAAATGGAGTGGGAACTTACAGCCACCAAATGATCACGTGGCAAACTCTCGGCCTCTGGATGTTAAAAGACGGCAAGGGTCGATCCCATGTCGATCCCTTACGGCAAAGGCTACGTCGTTACACACGAGCGCACATACCGCAAAAGATCATGTAAAAATGCACGCACGGAGACACGTATATCATCACATTGCAGCCATTCATTACATACATCTACTGTACCTTTGGGATCCTTTGGGTTTGTCTGACAGTAGTGTACCCCTAAACCCAATGGTTAATTATCATTTTCCCGATTCAATGGCTATAATATCTATAATTATCTATAATTATCTATAATTAATATTAATTAATTGGAGGTATGCCCCATTTCTAGACACCCACTTTCTGCAGGTGCCTTCAGCCCCGTGGCATTCGGCTGCTTGGCTGCCGTCGCCTTCGGATCCTGCCAGGATACGAAGGGGAGGCGACGATGGCGCGCTGAAGCGACAGGTGGGGGCTGAATTCTTCGGGGTCATGGGAGATTTAAACATCAACGCACGGGATTTAATGCAGTTTGGAGGTGATTAGTGGATGATTCATGGATTTCTGGATCCAAAAAAAATAGTCTAACCCCTGTTCATATTATTCAGCCCCAGAAACCGGTGTTTTTTTTGGGGATAAAACCATTTCTTTGGCACCATAGAACGGGGATGTTTAATTTTGATATTAGGGGAATCGGATTGTAACGGATTATACCCCCCAATAGCCAATTAAATAAGGAACCTGATGATTAATCAATGCTTTTTTTTGGGGGGAAGGCACCATATTTTTCAGACAAACCCAGGTGAGCAATGGGCGGAGGGGTTCGTAGATGCTGATACGGTTGGATTGGACATGTCACCTCCATTCAGGGCCCCCGTGGGCAGCCACATTTTAAGTTTGCCTACTGTGTCTCCTGTCCACCTGTCATCAGAGTGATTCCTGGAATTTCCTTGATATATTGATATATCGATATACCCTCAATATTCCCGGATGCATCCTGAACCTCCTATGGTATGCCCAAAGAGAATGGGGGGGCTGAAGCCACTACAAAAAAAAAATCGAGCAAATCCGAACGATTTTTGAAATAACATGGGACCAGACAACATTTTATTTTGGGGTGCATTTTTTTTGAGGGACCTAACCCATACACTTATTTGTTATTTTTTACATTTTGTTCTTGGGCCCCTGCATTTTATTATGTTTTTTTAGGGGCCGCACCTTACCCTGTGGCACCACACGGGTTTCATCCTGGACTTTCTGCATTTGCTATGCTTTTTGCATAGCTAAGAACATATCGAAAACCGTCCCTTCTGAGGCAAAGCCAGGAGCGCTCCAGGCTTCTTGCAGAAGCTGCGGTCGAAGTTGCCGAAGCCTCCCAGCAAGGAGGAGGGATAGGCTGCCATGTCAGGCAGTGATACATGTCTTGACTCGGGTTCATGGACATCACATGATATTTTTTTACTGTATATTTCCTCAACTTTATCTTCCACGGAACAAGTGGTTTTGAGACCTGAAGACTTCTCCTTCCCCGGTCCTTGCAGGAGATGAAGAAGTATGGCACAGCCATGGCCTTCAGCTACTCCTTCTTGGGCACCTTGAACATGTGCGTGATGGTGGCTATCAGCTGGCCTCTCTTCATCATGCGCACCGGTGGGAGCCCTATCCTATTTTCACCTCTGAAGTTGAATCCCAAGTACGCCTTGTACGTGACAGGCTGGAGATTTGCCTTTTTTCCATGGGGCTGCATGGGGCAATCGGATCCTGACTAAATGGGAGGAATGAAATTGTTGGATCCTTGGCACCCCGAGCCTACAGTTGGAAGAAAACGCTGTGGCAGGTGTCTATTTCACCTTTGGTAGCTGCGCCACTCCCTTCCTGCTTGCTGCATCGGTCGGCCTGGCACCTTTGTTTGCCAAGCTCCTGTCAGCACTGCAGAAGCGGCTGAAGTGCCCCAAGTGGTTGGCGTTTTTTCTGCTGGGCCTTTTGATGGCGGCCTGCTATGTGATGGCTTTACCTCTGTTCATTACTTTGGCTTGTGTAGCTTTACATCAGCCGGTGTTGAAGTGAAACCTGGCCAATCTCAGGTCTGCTAGGGCCGCTGGGGCTGCACAGCTTTCAAGTGCAGCTAATCCGACTTCCACCGGAGCTTGATCAAACTGATCCTTTTCATGGTAGAATTGTACCTGATACGAACGGCGAAGCGCGTGCGAAGAAAAAAGGGTCAAAGTCACAGTGGCATGGAATGGCATGGATCTCTTACGGGCAAACTGGCTTGAACACATTGGGCAGAAACTGGTTTCTCCAAGCTGGGTGCAGGCCCAAAGTTTCAGCAGCTTTAGCATGCTTTAACAACTTTAGTAGCACGATTGCCACATCTTGAGCTGGATAGGATGAATGCTCTCTTTTATATATTATTCTATGGGGGTTTCCTATAGTGGGGGTACCTCTAGATCATCAATTTTTAAGCATTTTATAGGATTTTCCATCATACACATTTTGGGGATTCCCCATTTATGGGATTTTCCTCATAAACATTTTGGGATTCTCCATTTATGGGATCCCCCATATATGCCAATGTATCATTCCAACCCCATTCCTCCCAACACTGGGCGCTGTGGGAGGCTGGCGGCGGCATTCAGGAGGTCGCTGCGCGCCAGTGCTGATCAATGACGAAAATGTTCTGCGCCTTGACGAGAATTGAGCTGTTTCTCCGAGTACGAACAAGATAAATTTCTAATAATGTGGAGATTTCTTTAGACTGGGGGATACCCTACGGCCATAGGTTTCAATACTAAAATGGTCTGATTTGGGATGTTAAACGGGTACCACCACTTTAGGAAACCTCCATATTTGATTTTGATAATGATTTTCACAAGGAATATAATAATGAATATAATATATAATACCATGGATGCTGCCAATTTTCCTCCAAGAATTGCACTAAAAACCACCTTTTAATTATTGCAGCAAGGAATGGACGTTTCCTTTTTCGAACAGCCTCATGTCCAGCTCAGGACCTACCTGCCAGACATGCCGAAGGAGTACTTCAGAATGCCGTACTCCCAGGCCAAGTCTGACATCATCAGGTGCGGCCAATGTCGGCTGTCCAAAAAGAAGTGGTAGTTCCCCAGCCCCCAAAAATGTGAGATGGCAGGTAATTTCAGGTCCAAAAATTGTCCCACCAGTTTATGTCAGTTTATGTCTAGGTCCACATTTTCGCATCAGTGGCACCTTTAGGAGTCAAAGCAGCAGTTTCTAGATGATGGAGAGCTAAACTTCCAGAACCCCCTAGACCAGGCTTGGAATCATTCCTCACCCAATAGTCTGATTCGAATGCCGAAAAGAGGCAGGTTGAGGTAGGAGGTATTGCCACACTGACCAGGTATGGGCTCCTTTATCATCACGGTGGCATTTATATGGACACCGATTTTCTGGTGGTCAAGGACCGCAAGCCAATGCCAAACATCTTGCTGTTTTTGGTGATGTGGAAGTGATACTGTCGCCGTAGGACCTGGATGAAATCCTGACTTTGATCAGATCCTTTGATCTGGTTTCCTACGTAGATGTGGCCTGGCAGATACTCGCAGCGGCTTTGGGCATTCCAGGGGGTAGGCCGGGTAGGCCCTACGGGGCGAGGGGATTGCCTGAATTTGGCATCATCCAAGGAAGGGGGCGGCAGCCTGGAAAAAGGCAACTTGACTGGAACCAGGGGCCACCAGCATGGCTTGTTGGTTTCAAGCAACTGCATGTTGGGAGGATGATCCCAATCATGACTATTCCTCAACTCCTAGAATTAGTATATAGACTTTTTCCAATGGTCCCTGCACCATTTCCCTCACATGTACTGATCATGTGAGAACCAGCGACTCGACCCCGCCATCCCAATGTGAGGAGCCTGTTCCCGGCACTTCAGCTCCAATTTCATGGCTTCCCGCAAGGGCAGTAGCTTCATGAAGGCCGTGTGGGAGAAGCAGAAGTACCGAGGCTTCACCTTGGAACACTCAACTTTTCAGAAAACGCTAGTTGGATAGAAACACCAAGGCCAATACAAACATATTTATACGTACATGCATGCATGCATGCATGCATACATGCATACATGCATACACGCATACATGCATACATGCATCCATCCATCCATCCATCCATCCATCCAGACAGACAGACAGACAGACAGACAGACACACAGACAGACACACAGACACACAGACACACATACATACACACACACAGACAGACACACAGACAGACACACAGACACACAGACACACATACACACACACACATATATATATATATATAATATTTATACATTACGTGATTTAGTGCGCTCACACACATACGCACACATACACACATATACAGATACATATGCACTGTAGAGGATCAGCTTGCAGATGGAATGCAGTGAGTTGGCATGGCGCACACTTTAAGTGAATCAAGTGGCCAAAGCTGCCCTTCTTTGAGGCATCACATGGTCACTCACTGCCCACTCTCAGAGAGGGAGCTGGAGAAAGTGTGTTGCTTCGACAGTGTGAACGTGGACTGCCATATTCCTTGGGCAGGCCTGGTGCAACCAATCGCTGTGTTCACAGGAGAAATCCCCACGTACCACTTATTTTGGCAGGGTCAGATCCCCAATTTCCCAGCATTTTCTTCATGATTCAAGCTCTCGTAGGGGTGGTTCACCGCCACCAAGGAATTGGCGAAGGTGTGTCACACAAAGTCTTCGATGAACTAGAAGGTGAAGGACGGATGCGCGGGCCTGTGGGTCAAACTTGGTCAATTTTCCATAGTTATTCCATAGTTATTCCCAGGATATCATGGTTGATGATGGTTGGATCATGGTTGAATCAAAATGAGCAAAAACTGTGGTCGGTCTCCTGGGTGCAAGGTTCAAAGCCTAAGCCACAGCTAGTATATTTGTGGTTTTCCGTTCCGTGGAACAGGGGTTTGTAACGTTTGTACATGTTCTATTTGAATCTATTTGAATCTATTTGAGGGATTTTTAACACAACCCTCAAAGGGTGGTTGATAGTTGGATTGGATTTCAGTTAGTTATTCATGAAACTCCTTTCAGGTGACGTTTCAATTGGGCACCACAGTCTATGGATGATACTCCCATTGATTCCTGGTGATTCAATGGGGCATTTCATGGGATGTGTCCGGCCATCCTTGGAGGAATTCACTTCAAATCCTTCTGCTTTGCGGATGACAGGGGCTTCACCCCGCCTGACATGATCACCTTGCTGGACAAGTCAGCAGACTTCGCCTCGCGCGCGTGGAAGCAGATGGGCAAGGCAACCAGCAGAGATCCATGGGGTCGAATCATGTACCACACCTTCAACTCCATCATGCCATGGTCAGGCTATTCATGTCCCTTAGCTGCCTTAGCTATATAAGTTTATGAATGGGTCAGCCCTTCAGTTTGGAGCAAGGGCGGGGGCAGAGGCAGTCGGTTGACCCCAAGGTGTAGTTGGAGTTGTGGCTACATGCAGCATAGTTGGCAAACCCATGGGCACCCCTATCAACATTATCAACCGACCAGCGAAACTCAATTCACAATAGGTCTTGGGCTTTTTGCTCACCTGCTTTTTGAGTTGGACTACTCGTTGGCTTGCGGCCATGGCTGAGGCAGGCAGATCTTCAACCAGTCTTCGGTCTATGGAAAGCTGAACTATTTGAGCTACACCACCGGAAAGGGGGCCTTAAGCTTGCCAGCAACTGAGGAATACATTCGATGGCTCAAAAAGTGGCTTGCTTCAAATTCGATGATTTTAACTAACATATTTTAACATCTTCCAACCTTTTAAAGGTGCCTACCACTGCTTTCCCAAGCCACCGATTTGGGTAGCGCTACCCAGCCGAGGTACAAAATGAAACGCCTCTCTGACAACAGTGATGGCTTGCCGTGCAGCTAGGAGCACTGAAAGGACAACATCCACATCTTGAACACGGAGAAGCTTGGCTTGCACTTTCTTGCCATAGTTGCCAGCTTTTGATAAATTTATGTACATATATAGTTATATATAGTTAATATACTATACGTATATAGTTACACACACACATATGTATATATATATTATTAATATATATATATATTTATTAATATGTATGTATTTATAATATACGTATATATATATAAATAAATATTCATTTCAGACATACATCCCAAATATCCCAAGCAGATTCACCGCTTCATGGCATCATGAGGCGCGCGGCTCCGGACCGCAGGACGGGAGCCATGGCAGCTGAACTGGGTGGCCATGGCCCGCGGCCAAAGTGCTGTGACCCGCGGTGACGGCGGTGAAAAGGATGCAGCGATTTTTGTAGGGTCTGGGTCAAGCTTGGATAATTACTGTAGTTGAGTACTATATATAAGAATGACGATGATGATGATGATGATGATGTTGATGATGTTGATGATGATGATGATAATGATGATGATGGCAATGATCCTAACGGTCCTAACACTAGTAATAATCACAATAATCATAACAATAGCATTATACATATATAACTATCATTATCATTTTTTGCAGTGATTGTGCAAATGAGAAATGTGCATGGCATCTAAGATTGTCCATGTTGTGGGATGGGTTGTTAGTGTAGTTATTCCCCCAGTCATATATGAACTTGTCCCAATTTGGAATTGTTTTCAAAAAGGGATACCACCACTTTGGGGCAAATTTAATGGGGAACTCAAAATGAATAGATCTAACAATACTTTAATACTCACCCACGGCTTCCGGGGAGGCGTTTCATATTGGTTTAACGGGATTGCTTCGAGGTTTGTAGGCCAAAGATTGTGCGGAAAGGTCGGAAAAGGCGCGCAGATCGCTTTGCACTGCAGATCTGAAGCAGTTCATGGGGAGTTTCACGGTGCCTTTTCCTTTCAATTCTGGTTGCATCAAAGTCTTTTGCGTTGTCCTGGCAGCTGTCAAGACCAAGCTGATAGCACAATCAATCCTCACGCATTTAGATCAAATAGCAATCAGGGCATGAAAGCAGCTGCAGGTAGGGGGAGGTTTGCCTTGGCACTACAATCGTGGCCGGCGGCAATTGTTGGCACGAGGCTGAAGTAATTTCCAATGATTATGTCCTTTTGTGATCTTTTGTGACACCTGGCTGTCGGAGTCAATATCGTTCCATTTCCATCCCTACCTGGATGGAATCCCAATTCGCTCATATTTTTTGAGGATAGGTGGCTCAACGTCAACCCCATCTCACCCCCCATCCATGCATCTGCAGTGGTCTCTGGCTTGCTCCAAAGCTGAATCCTGCCAGCCATGGAACGCGCTTTGCGCCGCCTCTGGAAGGGAGGCAGTGGCTCTCGCAACCGAGCCTTGGGCTTTTATGTTGGATGCGATCTTGGTATATCTTGGCAGATGATGGGAGGTATGAGGTATGGGTTCATCTAAAAATGGCGAGCACCCCCACCATAGAACCAGTGATGATCATCAACTTTGGGGCCTTGGGGATGGCTCAGGATATTTATCCACTTCACGCTTGCCGCCTTTCTGTCCATCTGGGACAATGACTACCGAACAGCGGGAACTGTACGATCCTAGTCCCAATGGCGCTGCAGAGGGACATCTGAGACAAGTTGGGCTTTATGAGTGGCTTCATCATTTTGCATAAATCTTTAATCTTTGAAGTCCCGGTTTCAATGGTGATTACATGTGATTATCATCAGCAACTGCTGAGATCAGCTGCAATTCATGATAGGCGAGCCGGCAACACCCGGCTTGCAAGTGCGGTGTATTCCATGGCAAACCACGGAGATCCACTGTTCCCAGGACCGTGTGTTGGAAGACCGTGGGAAGACGGGTGCGAAAGGTGGTTTCTCCGTGACCAATTCCGATGGCTCCCTGGTGGGGCCCTGGAATGCCATGGTTTGCTCGCCACTCATCGGTGGACTGGCGGAACGCATGGGCAGCTTCTGTCGACATCAGAACGCTTGCGCACCAGACGCCCGGACTTTTGTTGAGAGCAGTTTGGGCTTAGCGGGCTCGGGTTGGAGGATCCAAGCATTCCAATACGGCCGTACCCCCCTCGATTGGTAAACTAATTATATAATATTACATATGGCGAGTTTATGAACCCGGCGGGTGATATTAGTTGCACACCCTCTGGAATTCAGTGACGTCGAGCCGAGGACCTCTATGAGATTGGTATTTTGGTTGTCGGCGTTCAATGGCTCTCGCAGTTCGAATGGTACGCACACGAAAAGTTGGCCCTGAAAGCTGGTGTCAGCCCCGAGGCCCAGTCATGGCCATTGCGTGCACTCGTTGACAAAAAGTCAGGAGTCACTCAAGTCAAACATATTATATAGATCTATAGAATGACTATAATATATTATAATATATTGTAATTAATATACTATAATATACTACAATATACTATAATATGTATATATGATGAATCATAATGCCATCTCAGGGAAAGCCAGTCAAGAATATGCAGGCTTCAAACTTGTGGAGCTGCCATGATCTCACTCAGCTTCAGTGATGCTGGGAGGCAATCCAAGCGGTGAAGGATCGAGTTGCCCCAGAAGTGGCAGATGGGATGACCGAGCAGCAGCGAGCTGTTACCCGCAGGAAATGGGTGTTTGACATGACTAAGGCTGCGAGACGTCTAGACTTTAAACACGTTACATTAAACTTTTAAATCACTTTGATCTATCCACAACCACTCCGAAACGTGTCTAAACTATCCGCTTCCAAACCCAGAAAACATCGACACGTCGGGAAGTGTTTCATGCAAAGCCGAAATGCATCGACATGCCTTCCACAAGGTGTACAAGTACGCGCGTGAGCTTCACGAAACCAAGCGAGTGTCCGACCAGACCCACTCGGCTGCACTGAAGGCTGTGGGTGGAGAGCTCCTTGGTTGACCACGGCTTGCGGGGTGTGTTTTGTTGACGGAGAGAAGCCTGGAGCAGTGTGAGGGAGTGTAATGGTGGTGGTGGTGGTGATGATAATGATGATGACGACGATGGCGACGATGATGAGGATGATACTAGTAACTAGTATATTACTTCACAAGAAGACCAGTTCAGCATACGTATGTCAGTGCATAATGTTTTCACCACAGTTATTGCACCTGGAGGGCATGCCGAGGCGAGCTCTGGTTGACCTGGTCTTCACCATGGGTTTCTACCACCAGATCTCCATGACTCTGAATGCTTTCAATGTGCCACTTCCACAGGGTGTCACACCACCCTTCAAGGAGCCCAAGGTGTAGAGTTTGCGATCAGCCTTCTTATTTTGGGGCCGGGAGAAAAGTGATGCTGCAGCGGCCAGGGTTTCATGGCCCAAGCTTTTCACTGATTCTTTGCATTTTTCATTCCCTGATGCCCAGAAGGGCCACCAGGGCATGTGGAGGTTTCCTAATGGCTGGGGGTACCCCAAATCATCCAAGATCATCCAAGTCATGAATGATTACGACTTAGTATTGAAACCCATGGTGACTTGGGAGTCCCACCATTTGGAACTGACATGGCCGGGAGGCTCGCGGTGCGCTTGGTGTGCGGCCCTCAGCCCTGGCGCAGGGCAGGACTTGAGCGCTGCGCAGCGCATGCGCAAGATGCTCATGTTTGGACCAAGGTGTTGGTTACCTGTTTGGATACCAATAGCCTGGCCATGGGCTCAGGATTGAAACGTGCGGAAAAAACGTGGGAAAAAACCTGACCATCAATAACTCTTAGACTCTTAGACCACAACATCCCTCCAAACTGGTCCGAGAATTCTGTGGCTTTGCGCGATGTCCGAATGTGAGCATGATTTTATGCATTTGCTCAATTTGTTCTTTCTCTTTTTGCTGATGTATGGCTATTACTATATGGGTCTCAAAATAAGGGATACCAGGATGCCCCATTGAGTGGCTATATATGTATATTATATATTATATATTATATTTATCACTGAGGAAAAAATTAAAATGGTGTGTACGCTTTCCCTCCAAATGTTCGCCTGTTCTTGGCTCACAGGCAAGCTGCATTGCGAGCAACGCGGAGCCTGACCTCTGTCCTGGTCTCAATGTAGGACATTACGAAGTTACCCTCCATCAAACATGGCAATGGAAAATCCCTCATCTATAATCATAATAATGGATATGGATGGATATGGGTCAAAAGCCTATACATCCCTATACCCATGGTGAACACCAAAATAGCTGGCAAATGGATGTTCATCCCTATAAATGGTATCTCTAGGGATTGATCCATAGCCGCATGAAAGTCACATGGTTGTCACCAACATGTGGCATCAAGACGCATCAAATCCCGCGTGGATTTAGACTATGTAGACCACAACTACGAGGATTTGGTGTTCTTTTTGCATTAAAATTCAGCAACAAGAAACCAGTAGTTGAGTGCCAAACTAATGTCTTGGGCACTCAGTTCCGAAGAAACACATGCATGGTTGTGGACAACTCTTTTTTTTTGGGGGGGGGAAATGTGTAATCGGCGGGATAATGCGGGATACCACTTCTGGTTACCATGATTACAGTTTATAGGTGATGTTTATTCAATTGGTCATACCAGCAACCCAGCAACCTTGGCGGTTTCCCATGTTTCCCTCCCGAGGTGTTGATGCCCGAGCCTGGCCAAAGAGCCCCATGTCCAAGATCTTAACGGTGGCCATGTGCGTGCGCCATGGCTTTGATGTCCTGTGGCTGGATACAGACACCGCTGTGGCCCCAGCAGCCGCTAAGCAGGGATAGCCAGGGGCTGTTGCCGGAGCTTGGTCAAACAGCGAACATTCTGCAACGCCGAGGTTGTGTGTGTGTGTTTTTTGCTGGGTGTCTGTGGGCGAATACTTCGTTTCTTTGTTTGGATGTTTATCGGTTTATCGCATAATTTCGGTACATGCCTGTCATTTTTTCGTTGGTAGAGCCGGTAGAGCTCTGAAGTTTCCCCCATCTATTGTCTGTGATGAGGTCGTGCTGAACGACCCCATACCGAGAGTGGCACGTGCAATGCAGGATGCATGACGTGATGTTGTTCTTTCAAGCTTGAGATTGAAGGTTTGAAACAGGGTTTGTCAATTGTCAATTATCCAGTTTAAACACGTTGAACCACACGCAGCCCATTTTCTCGCCTGTCGTGCAGACGACCAGGAGCAAAAAGTGCCGCAAGATCGTGAGATGCTCTTCTCAGTTGAGGCGTGTATTCCAGCTGCCTACTTGAAATCAGACTACAGCATACAGTGGTCTAAAAGTCCTTTTGTTCCAGATGTTCCAGACAAATCCCCACATGTTTTGAGGCTGACTCGGTGAACTGTGTGAACACCGGTGCCTATTTCATGCATCATCTCTGGCATGTTTTCCTACGACGGGGCTGGGCTGGGGTGACAAATCTCGAAAAGAAGACAACGTTTCCATGCCCACCTTACCATGCATTTTGCATGTTGGCGGCCTGGCAGGTTCGAGCCCAACGACTCAGAGATATCTGGGACACTGGGCTGGCGTCTCAGACGGGCGCCAAAGCCCTGGTTTCCTCAAATAGGGGTACCCCCAATCATCCAAGTCATGGATGACCATGACTTAGTATTGAAACCCATGGTGATGATTTGGGGTACTATCCATTTTAGGAAACCTCTATGTGGGTTTGTCGGACAATTTTAGGGAAAGCCTCTAAATCCATTTGTGAATCGTATTTAATCATCATTTTCCCTATGAAAAAAATAGCATTTGGGCGGTACACACCATTTTCAGACGGACCCATTGTAACAAGATAGTTGAGTGATGGATCTGACAAATGGTTTCAAAACATATGTGCCATGGCTGCCATGGTCAAAGGTTGGATTGATTTGGATTGTATATCAAGTTCTTGGGGGATAGTCATCAACCCATTATATAATCGGGATTTATTAATCCCCATTGCAAGGATTCCCAATATGGGATGGATGACCATAAATCATATAATATACTATGTCTAGATCCTAGCACATATGAGTTCACAGAAGATTTGCAAAACACACATACATATATATTATATAATACATATATATTATATAATACACATATATATATATATACATATATATATATATATATATGCATACCAATATCAAAAGATGATGCGTTTGGGAGACCAACAGTTTCAACATGTTTCAAACCTTTGAGTCTCCATCGCGAGAAGTTTTCACCCAGCCTCAAGGCCTCTCTCTACTTTGGCCGCCCTGTGGTGCCCTCAGAGCATTTGATGGCATTGGTAGATGTTAAGGTTGGTAAGGTTGGCCCCCAGATGATTGAACAGATGATTGGTAAGATTGAAGATTAACACAGCAAAGCATCTTGTCAGCCTTGAAGTGAGAAGATATCCTAGGACGCTTGATTCTGCCATCCCAGGCTAGCACCGATCAGTCAATCCTCTATCTACTCCTGGGTCTTGCGGAGGGCTCAGGACAGGGGTTGGACTGCCACTCTTCGGGTAGTGTTGGCAGGGACCTTTTTGATGAAATCTTTCATACTGCCCCGCTGCTGATCCAAGTTGCCCGGTATGGACTTCAACACCTATGCTCAGCGCATGGTTCTCAGACTTGTGGTTGCGGCCATGACAATGGCCTCACTCGAAGTTTTCAACATGACTTAGTCCAGCATCAAATTCCAGTTGTCTCCCCAATATAGATTATTATTATTATTACTATTATTATTATTTACATAATATCATTACTACTATTATCATTATTATTCTGGAACTGTAACCAACATGTAATCAACAGTTTTTTTGGTTCGCACGGGGGCGGTTCAGGCAATGATACCCCAAAATGAACATTTCGATGGAGAGGCTGGTAAGCCATTGGATTTTTTGTGGCATACAGTTTCTGACAAACCCATTTAGATTTTGGAAACCCATTTAGATTTTGGATTGGATGTGGTGTGGGTTCCGGCAATGCGGCGCATGCTGATATCGAAAGAGGTGATAGGATAGAAGCTTAAGAAAAAACATGAAAAAACATATTATTGTCAACAAATCATGCCAGCCGGCACGTATTTAAGTCTCCATTCCATGACACCGTACATCCTCCGACATGATCCGACATGCGCTGCATTTGGCTCAAGGCCTAGGCTAGGAAGCCCCTACCTCACAGCCTCGGCCCGTGCCCCCAAAGGTCAGTTGGGGAGCTGGGATTTGATTTCAGCTGAGCAGCAGCTGTGGTGAGACAAGGTGTCACACGGCAGCCACATATATGGCATCAGATGTCCATTTCCAGTAGGGGAGTCATATCGAACTAATTCAAATCATCCTGCAAACATCTGCAAACCTAGTTTTATGGGATTTCATATTCTGCTGCATGGGGGCGCAAGGTGTTTACGGGGCAAGTTTTTTGCTGTTCCCAGGACGGCTTTACAAAATGACTCTAAACATTCCAGAACATTGTCATGCACTAAATGTGGTTTAAGTGGGATGTTTAAAGTTTAAACAATAAATTCAATAACTTAATGTTTAATCAATAAATTTAGTATCTTAATCTGTGTTTCTGTGGTAGCACATCACAATTTTGAGACGATGGCTCCAGTTGAATGAGGATTGTTTGTTCCAAGTGGAAGCCTTCCAAGAGATCTAGAAACTCAAGAAATTGCCATGGGCCTGTGCTTCATTTCCCCCGTTGCTTCTCCAAAACGGTTTGCATTTGAGGGATGCTAAACTTTGGCAGGGCAAGGCCAATGGGCAACTGCCATATCTCCTCTGACAGGTCCGCTTCCTCTCGGACATCCATATCTACATCTATACACCTTTTGCATAAAAGTTGGGAGCTCAGATGTAAGCCATCAGGCACAATGAGGAGTTGTGCACTTCATTGGGAGCTCCAGGAACCTTAAGGGTCATGGGGATCCATTACTGGCTGGTGGTTGCCAACAGTCAAAGCTCAAAACTACTTGGGATATCTTGGGATGATGATCCTATACATAATTGTCATCAATTGACAACATATATATATATATATATTTATATATATTTGAACTAGGGGGGATTTGTTGAAACATGTTGAACCTTGAAACCAGCTCCCTCCATGAGGCTTTCCGAACCAATGTGGTGCAGCCTCTTGACCGCGACGGCACTTCAGCTGGTCGCGGGGGATGTGATGCTTGGCTGAGGCTGTTGGCAGGTGATGCAGATAGGTTTTAGTAGCAACCTTCAAACTTCATGTCAAGATATGTCGAGAATGAAAGAGAGGTTCAGTTCAGCATCCAGTGAATTCAGTGAAAGTCCTGAGGATGTCGTTGAAGATATTTGAAGATGATAGATATTGATAGATCACAATAGACTAGAAGAGTAAACAGACTGTGGCGGTTTCTGCTGTGAGTCCTTTTGCCTTCAGGACTTATGATACCTGCAGGGTGGGACAATGCCTTCCCGAAGAGGCGTGGCTTATCAGCAGCGTTGTTGGTGAAGTGACTTGATGTGGCGCCTGGCAGGTTGGCGCACAGGTGGCTGGTGATGATCAAGCATCCCCTGCCATCGGTCTGATGCAGACCTTCTTGCGCCCTGCCGTCCGAAATGATCGAAATGGCGGTTTCCAAGATTCCAACTGGCTGCCCCAAACATCCCCAAACACCAAGAAGCAATACGGTAAGCTTTCAAGATCACTCAAAATTCCGCATCCCCAAACCTTCAAAAAAGAGACTAACTTTGACCGTTCTGACCAGTTTTCAGTTTTCACCATGCTTTCACCGAACTTTCCCATCTGATCCAATGCCAAGGAAATATCGTCTCCGTGAAGAACGGCGGAGCGCCGCCCCCGAAGGACCAGCTTTGGTCAATATGACCTTTCCAGGCCGCCGGCTCGGCGGAATGCGGTCTTTACAGTTGAAGTCCTACAGGTCCTACATTCTTACCTATCTATTTACCTCTGATCTGTCTCTACAGTATCTTATAGTATCTTATACTTATAATCTTATATAGCGGATGATTTGACAATTTTACCATATCCATATCTCAGTGGATCTGATCTATCATGTCCAGGCATCAAACCTCGGAGGTTGTAGGGGCTTGAAGGTGTCTGAGAATCAATCATTTTCATTCAATTTCATTGTGCAGTAGCGGCTTGATTGCGCTCAGCGAGCTGATTTGAGGCAAAAGAAATCTAGGAAAGTTTAGTTTCACAACATTTTGTGATATGGGTGCCCCGTTTCACCCATGAATGCTAGGTATCTCTCAGTTTAAAACCGTTTCACACCCCACAAGTCGCCCTCTTCCTGTCCTGGTGAGGCGTAGACCCACTCAACCCTTATCGCCTGCGGATGGTGGCTGGGGCCTGCCCTTTGAGCAAAGACCTGGGTGTGGAGGCACATAGAGATACCAACTTTTGGTAAGTTGCAAGCATTTCGAACAATAGGGATACAATGGGGATAGAGTGAAAATAACCAACAATAATTAGTGCTTAAATTTGAAGACCTTTCGAAGGATGTTTTCGTGTCACAGAGGTTCCGAGAGATCTGACATGTAGGCGACATGGCTGGCAGCTGCTTCGTGGCAGGTACCTTTATCCATTGGGAGCATCGCAAAACTGCAAGCCTTTCAAGCCATAGGCCTTGACAGCCACATCCGCAACAGTTGAAGCCTGGAGAGTTGACAGATTGGATATCGTTGGATACGTGGCTGTATGATGTGGTATGTGGTGTATTGTGAAATTGTCTCAGCAAGTCCCAGCAAGGAAAGCCATGACTTGGCAATTACTATGACTCCTTGATGCTGTTTATCACTTAAAACCTATTTTAGAAGGAACATGCCGAACATCCTCCACTCATAAATGATTTCCCCATAAAACATGCACCTAACATAGCAATGACAAGGGATCCAGCCCACTGCTCCGGTTCAGGCTTCATCCAGGCATTACCTCACTGCGGTTTGACGACCTTGAATTCCATCACCGAACTCATCGCCCCAGGACTTGCATGCGATAGTGTGGGGCAGAGAGGGGGGTTGAACCTGTTTGTTGGAATGATAGAGGGTTGCCTGGTTGATTGCTGATGTGCATTGGATGTCTCTTTTGGTGTGTGTGTGTGTGCCCTTTCATCCGAGCCTTTTGTTTTTGTCACTTAGCTGGATGACCAATCTCCCACCAGCAATCAACATCAAGCAGCATCAATCAACATGACACAACATCACTCAACAACACCCCAGGATTTCCTTGGTTTTGGTTTCATCTTTTTTCTCCGATGAAACCATTTTCTGCAGGAGAAAATGCGTATCAACACAATCGCTTAGCCAAGAACCTGGCCGTGGGCTGGAGCATCATCGCGCTGGCCTTGATGATTTGGTCCTTCCTCTCTGTTGCCGTGGTACCACGGAAAGGCACGACGCCTGCAGTGAAGGCAGGCCTTGCCGATGACCGGCAGGCGCGGTTTGGGATGAGTTGAAACCACCATGACTCCAGTTGAAGGACAGAAGATCCAAGCTGGGGGACCATAGTAGCATGACCATTATGGATTGTGGACTTCTCCCTTTTTTTTGTTTATTATATGACAATCACATAATCATGGTACATGCATTACATTGCCATGGCATTAACAAGTACATAAATTATATACATACGGCCACACACACACGGATATACGCATAGTGATATGAGTTATAGAATTAATGTATATACATACATACATACATACATACATGCATGCATACATACATACATACATACATACATATATAATATATAATATATAATATATATAATATCTATATATATATATAGAATTCATATATTCTAACGCGTAGCGCGGGGGCCATCCCTTGGCCTCAGGCCTACACCAGGGGCCTGTTGCACTACATCAGCCTTGGATGGGTGGACGAGCTTGTAGGTCGCTATGGAAAGTGTAGCCATGCGGTCATCGACGACAGTGAGATCATTTGCAACCGCCGGGACTGTCACAAAACACGGGGCAGTTCAATTGACTCCAAAAATGAAGCTTTGGAGGGATTAGCAATTCGGAAAACTTCGTCCGCATGCTTGGGAAATCAAGAGGAGGCTAGTGAAATGCTACAAAAAAAGTTTTGGAGAGACTTTTTGGGCTTATCTAGGGTTGCAGGTGGGGAAGAATTCCGCAAGAAACGGAAAAATACATGGGAACATATGAAAAACCGCGAGAACGCAATGCACAAACAAAAGTCGAACAATTAAATCCAATTAAACATTGGCAAGCTGGAAAGTAGCTTAAAAATCGAGAGAGAGAGAGAGAGAGATAATAAGGGGAAGGTAGATGGACATGGAAGGGGAATAAATGGAAGATGAAAGGGAAGCAACTCGTGAGTGCAAAGAAAGAAGGAACCAACCGCAAGTCACATGAAATGAACGCCATTTTTTGTAACTTGGCAATGTCAAATGAGAGATACTGACTGCGGCGGGCTGGATCCCCTGAGATGTATATAAATGGATCGGTTTTTGATAATTATATAATATTATATATAATGCATATAATTAGTTTGACAATGTTTGATAATTACCGACAAGCTCACCTGGCAATGGAACATCACCATCATCACCGTTTTCAGTCTTTTCAGAGGGTCAAACTTGGTGGTTTTCCATTGCCATTTTTGAGTACCAGAGGGTACACACACACACACACTCTCTCTCTCTCTCTTTCTCTCTCTCTCTCTCTCTCTCTTTCTCTCTCTCTCTCTCTCCCTACATTTTTTTGTGATAGTTGGAAAGTCTTGGTTCCTTCACGCCAGGACGAGAACTTTGAGCCCTACATCAAGTTCAAACATTACTGGGAAGAAGAGGTGAAGAAAGCTGGCTCCATCGAAAAGGCGCCCCCCAAAACATCACTGGGCTTTTGGCTGATTTCAATACGTTTTAATTGATACTGGGAATCATTTCCAAGCAACCAAAACGATCTATAAGTTTCCACAGCTTCTCAGCTGGCAGTGTTTCCAACATGCTGTGCCAATGAAGAAAGCGCAGAATCCTGAGATACTAAGCTAGCAGCTAGAGAAATACTAATTGCCAGACATTGCTTGTGCTTTTCATGCCAACATTCTGGAAGACCGGACCATACCATCAGCAGATATCATCAGCATCCCATCATGAGGCTTGGATCACTCGAGCGCTGTACAAGACAGTGGGCTTCAAGGGATGTTGCGTCCTGGTGATCTTGGCAGTGGTGGAGCAGTTCAGCGGTTCAGTGCCTTGCCTTGCGGACGTGCGCAGTCTGACTTGCCAAGCGCCGCCAGCGCAGGTGAGTTTAAATGTGGACCGTGGGATCACAATGTACATCAATGTACTCTCTCTCTCTATATATATATGTATATATATATATGCACACGTGTAAAATACATATGTGTATATATATATATATTATATACATAGATACCCAGTATGCACATATGATAATACATGTATACCTGCACGTGTGCATCCTCTCGTTTTGAGCAGTGATGACGAAGCCGGCATGAAGACCATAGGGGTGGGATGATGTTTCATATTCCCAGGTAGATCGTGGACCCTATACTCACTCGGTGGGTCCGCTTGTGGTTTTGGAACGGCCATAGGCTGGCTTTCGCAAAGGCAACCAACCCCAGGTGCACAAGCAGGGGCATGGTAACCCTGTACAGAAATGATGATAACTATGATAACCGTATGAAATGATGACCGTATATCGTCACATTCTTAGCCCAATAATTCAATACAGCTTAAGCGGGTTGGCATCACCGAAGGTCAGTATGGAGGGCGCGGTCAAAGAATGACGATAAGATCGATAAGCGGAATCGTAATGACAATGGGGATGGCAAGCGAAATGATGGCCCTTTTAACACCTTCTTGTGGGTATTATAGAGCATGGTAGGATCAGCTTTGGTGGCTCACAGAGTTCCTGTTTAAGACCGATCTTTGACACTCAGATCTTCATGGTCTGGGGGCTGAACCTCTTCCTTAGTTCACTGGAAGACTTGGACACGTGACTTGGGCACGCTGCCAGCGTGGGCATGGGTGTTTTTTTTTTTGTCAGATCTTCCAAGCCAATGTGATCCTTTGATAATGGATCTAAAGCCACAGCTCGTTGAAGGAAACCTACGCCGTACGCCCATCATTTTTTCCGTGAGTACGACTACGAGTAGGAGTAGTAGTGGTCCTCGTCGTGCTGATGGTGGTCGTGGCAGTGGTACTGCTAGTGGTAGTGGCAGCAATGATAGTAGCAGTAGCAGCAGCAGGAAGGAGGGAAGTGAAATCTAGAAGAAGTAGTACAGCAGCAGCAGGAGGAGGAGGAGTAGTGGTGGTGGTAGTAGTAGTAGAAGAAGAAGTAGTAGTAGTAGAAGTTGAAGTGACACTGCAATACTGTAGTACCAGTAGTAGTAGTAGTAGTAGTAGTAGTAGTAGTAGTAGTAGTAGTAGTAGCAGTTGTTGTTGCTGTTGTTGTGGTTGTGGTTGTGGTTGTGGTTGTCGTGGTGGTTGTGGTTATGGTTATGGTTATGGTTGTGGTTGTGGTTGTGGTTGTGGTTGTGGTGGTGGTTGTGGTTGTTGTTGTTGTTGTTGTTGTTCTGGTGTTTGTGTATATACTGTATTGTACTGTAGTAATGTACTGTAGTAATGTACTGTAGTAATGTACTGTAGTAATGTAGTACTGTAGCAATGTAGTACTCGTACTGTGCTAATGTAGTACTGTAGTACTGTAGTAGTATTCGTCGTAGTAGTAGCTGCAAAAGTAGGAGTAGTACTGGTAGTACTCTTTCCAGTTGCAATGTTCCGGCGGTGCTTCATTCACGCTTCAGGTTCCGAAAATTTCATCCAGATGAGCAGGAAGACTATTTGACTCCCACCATCATGTGCCCTGGCAACTGCTTGAAGGTGGAGTGGTCAATGTTGGCCCCTTGATCAATTTTCTGAGCACTAAAAACCCAACTTGTAGAGATCAGGATTGGAGGCATGGGTTCACCAGAATTGTCATGGTGTAGCCACGACAGGAGCCGTGCATGGCTCTGAGCCGTGCATGGCTCTCAGCTCACATTGATCGTTCCAACTGTTGTCCGCTTACAGCACCGGTGTGCCATGCGTGTGAAGCCAAACAATTCCCAACAAACATTTACATACATTTACGACAGTTTTGTTGTTGGAACATCTATGACACTCTTGGGGCTGCCTTTTTGGATGCCACGATTCAGTGAGGTCAGGTGCATGGACAAGCGACCATGATCGGAATGTACCCTTCAACTCCGCTACTGAGACATTGAGACAGAGGGTCCTGAGACTCTCCGTGGCTCCCCTTGTGCTGAGGATTCTCATTTTCATTTGGGGCAGTCCTATGTTCTTCCGGGCAACTTCCATTATTTCGACGCTGGTGGAAGGCCATTACACGCAGATTTGCGCATCAGGCGGGTCCACGGCCTGCTTTTGCAGTCATACACCCCCATGATTGTTTCTGAACATATGGTACCCCCCAAATCCAATGGTATCCAACGGTTTATCATCATTTTCACGAAAATTTTCCCTATTAAACTTGCGATTTTTTGGGGGGTACGCCTTTTTCAGACACCCAGACTTGTGGACACCGCCTTTATTGCGATGTTTGGTTGCTGTTGCTTGTGCGAGCTACGTCGATGTTCCTGGGATGTGTTGGTTTGAGTGATATCTGCCCTCCGTTAGATCATCTTATTTCGCAAGTTTTTGCTGTTTACCGTTTCATTTCCAAGATTTGTTAATCCCATCCCCCAAAATATTATAAAATATTAAATGCTCCCCATATGGGCCCAAAAAAGGAATAGTTCCGATATGTTCTGATATTAAAGGGCTACGCCCTCTGCCGCCGACCCCTGGACACTGGAGGGTCATGCCTGCCTCTGTGTCGTAAGCATGAAATGAACCCTAAAGAAACCAGAAACTGACCTAAACAAACCATTTGTATGTGCGTTTGGCACTGTGCACATGCAAGCAGCATGGACCCCTGCAGGATGACACGCACAACTATGTGTTCTGACACTTTTTCATGGCTCAAGAAATAGGAGCTTTCGTCATTGGGCAGGTGTCTTGGGGACCTAAAGGGTTGCTCTAGCACTTAAGACCCATACCCGAAGCCCCCGTTCGTAACCGCAGTATGAAACTTTAAATGGCATCCTAAAGAGACCCGAGACGACACTGCACTGCCAACTGCCACCCTGCTCGTGTCCTCCTGGAGCCGGCTTTCGTTCTGCACCGCTTCGGTCCAAGCTGGAGTCCAAGGACCGTGTCGCAGGGCTAAAACACCATGGCAGTGAAGGACGGATTGGGCCGCGGCCCGTATCCCAGACTGCCAAACGTCACTTTCTGAACCGACTAGAAACTAGCTCCAAACCTTGACTTTTCCTACGTTTCTGCACTGCCAACTGCCACCCTGCTCGTGTCCTCCTGGAGCCGGCTTTCGTTCTGCACCGCTTCGGTCCAAGCTGGAGTCCAAGGACCGTGTCGCAGGGCTAAAACACCATGGCAGTGAAGGACGGATTGGGCCTGCGGCCCGTATCCCGGCCCGTATCCCAGAAGCTCCAAACCTTGACTTTTCCTGCGTTTCTGCACTGCCAACTGCCACCCTGCTCGTGTCCTCCTGGAGCCGGCTTTCGTTCTGCACCGCTTCGGTCCAAGCTGGAGTCCAAGGACCGTGGCAGTGAAGGACGGATCTGAACCGACTAGGAACTAGCTCCAAACCTTGACTTTTCCTGCGTTTCTGCACTGCCAACTGCCACCCTGCTCGTGTCCTCCTGGGGCCGGCTTTCGTTCTGCACCGCTTCGGCCCAAGCTGGAGTCCAAGGACCGTGTCGCAGGGCTAAAACACCATGGCAGTGAAGGACGGATTGGGCCCGCGGCCCGTATCCCAGACTGCCAAACGTCACTTTCTGAACCGACTAGAAACTAGCTCCAAACCTTGACTTTTCCTGCGTTTCTGCACTGCCAACTGCCACCCTGCTCGTGTCCTCCTGGAGCCGGCTTTCGTTCTGCGGCTCCAAACCTTGACTTTACCTGCGTTTCTGCACTGCCAACTGCCACCCTGCTCGTGTCCTCCTGGAGCCGGCTTTCGTTCTGCACCGCTTCGGTCTAAGCTGGAGTCCAAGGACCGTGTTGCAGGGCTAAAACACCATGGCAGTGAAGGACGGATTAGGCCCGCGGCCCGTATCCCAGACTGCCAAACGTCACTTTCTGAACCGACTAGAAACTAGCTCCAAACCTTGACTTTTCCTGCGTTTCTGCACTGCCAACCGCCACCCTGCTCGTGTCCTCCTGGAGCCGGCTTTCGTTCTGCACCGCTTCGGTCCAAGCTGGAGTCCAAGGACCGTGTCGCAGGGCTAAAACACCATGGCAGTGAAGGACCCCAGACTGCCAAATGTTGAACGACTAGAAACTAGCTCCAAACCTTGACTTTTCCTGCGTTTCTGCACTGCCAACTGCCACCCTGCTCGTGTCCTCCTGGAGCCGGCTTTCGTTCTGCACCGCTTCGGTCCAAGCTGGAGTCCAAGGACCGTGTCGCAGGGCTTTAAAACACCATGGCAGTGAAGGACGGATTCGGCCCGCGGCCCGTATCCCAGACTGCCAAACGTCACTTTCTGAACCGACTAGAAACTAGCTCCAAACCTTGACTTTTCCTGCGTTTCTGCATTGCCAACTGCCACCCTGCTCGTGTCCTCCTGGAGCCGGCTTTCGTTCTGCGGCCCGTAGCCCAGAGGGCCAAACGTTACTTTCTGAACCGACTAGAAACTAGCTCCAAACCTTGACTTTACCTGCGTTTCTGCACTGCCAACTGCCACCCTGCTCGTGTCCTCTTGGCGCCGGCTTTCGTTCTGCACCGCTTCGGTCCAAGCTGGAGTCCAAGGACCGTGTCGCAGGGCTAAAACACCATGGCAGTGAAGGACGGATTGGGCCCGCGGCCCGTATCCCAGACTGCCAAACGTCACTTTCTGAACCGACTAAAAACTAGCTCCAAACCTTGACTTTTCCTGCGTTTCTGCACTGCCAACTGCCACCCTGCTCGTGTCCTCCTGGAGCCGGCTTTCGTTCTGCGGCCCGTAGCCCAGAGTGCCAAACGTTACTTTCTGAACCGATTAGAAACTAGCTCCAAACCTTGACTTTTCCTGCGTTTCTGCACTGCCAACTGCCACCCTGCTCGTGTCCTCCTGGAGCCGGCCTTCGTTCTGCACCGCTTCGTCCAAGCTGGAGTCCAAGGACCGTGTCGCAGGGCTAAAACACCATGGCAGAGAAGCACGGATTGGGCCCGCGGCCCGTATCCCAGACTGCCAAGCGTCACTTTCTGAACCGACTAGAAACTAGCTCCAAACCTTGACTTTTCCTGCGTTTCTGCATTGCCAACTGCCACCCTGCTCGTGTCCTCCTGGAGCCGGCTTTCGTTCTGCGCCGCTTCGGTCCAAGCTGGAGTCCAAGGACCGTGTCGCAGGGCTAAAACACCATGGCAGTGAAGGACGGATTGGGCCCGCGGCCCGTATCCCAGACTGCCAAACGTCACGTTCTGAACCGACTAGAAACTAGCTCCAAACCTTGACTTTTCCTGCGTTTCTACACTGCCAACTGCCACCCTGCTCGTGTCCTTCTGGAGCCGGCTTTCGTTCTGCTGCTCCAAACCTTGACTTTACCTGCTTTCTGCACTTGCCAACTCCACCCTCTCGTGTCCTCCTGAGCCGGCTTTCGTTCTGCACCGCTTCGGTCTACTGGAGTCCAAGGACCGTGTCGCATGGGCTAAAAGCACCATGGCAGTGAAGGAACGGATGCGGCCCGCTTACCCGTATCCCAACTGGCCAAACGTCACTTTCTGAACCGACTAGAAACTAGCTCCAAACCTTGACTTTTCCTGCGTTTCTTCACTGCCAACTGCCACCCTGCTCGTGTCCTCCTGGAGCCGGCCTTCGTTCTGCACCGCTTCGGTCCAAGCTGGAGTCCAAGGACCGTGTCGCAGGGCTAAAACACCATGGCAGTGAAGGACGGATTGGGCCCGCCGGATTGGGCCCGCGGCCCGTATCCCAGACTGCCAAACGTCACTTTCTGAACCGACTAGAAACTAGCTCCAAACCTTGACTTTTCCTGCGTTTCTGCATTTCCAACTGCCACCCTGCTCGTGTCCTCCTGGAGCCGGCCTTCGTTCTGCACCGCTTCGGTCCAAGCTGGAGTCCAAGGACCGTGTCGCAGGGCTAAAACACCATGGCAGTGAAGGGCGGATTGGGCCCGCGGCCCGTATCCCAAGACTGCCCAACGGTCACTTTCTGAACCGACCTAGACAAAACTAGTCCAAACCTTGACTTTCCTGCGCTCTGCACTGCCAACTGCCACCCTGCTCGTGTCCTCCTGGAGCCGGCCTTCGTTCTGCACTGCTTCGGTCCAAGCTGGAGTCCAAGGACCGTGTCGCAGGGCTAAAACACCATGGCAGAGAAGCACGGATTGGGCCCGCGGCCCGTATCCCAGACTGCCAAACGTCACTTTCTGAACCGACTAGAAACTAGCTCCAAACCTTGACTTTTCCTGCGGTTCTGCACTGCCAACTGCCACCCTGCTCGTGTCCTCCTGGAGCCGGCTTTCGTTCTGCACCGCTTCGGTCCAAGCTGGAGTCCAAGGACCGTGTCGCAGGGCTAAAACACCATGGCAGTGAAGGACGGATTGGGCCCGCGGCCCGAATCCCAGACTGCCAAACGTCACTTTCTGAACCGACTAGAAACTAGCTCCAAACCTTGACTTTTCCTGCGTTTCTACACTGCCAACTGCCACCCTGCTCGTGTCCTTCTGGAGCCGGCTTTCGTTCTGCACAAACTCTTCGCCCCTTCTGGCATCTTGTTGCTAGTAAGGCCTCCTCTGACGCGCTCCCCCTGCTGACGGCAGGGGTCGGCGGATAGATGTTATTGGCAATAACTTGGTGAGTTTGGGTTGTTTACATCCACTTTTTCTTTGGCAAGTTCTTTCTTTTGTAGGGGTTTCTGCCCCCGATAAAGGTATACAAGCAGAGTTAGACTAACAGTTTGACTCCAGTTTTTGGGTGCAGCATGTCCAAAGAACCTGCGGCAAATGGGAGCTTATAATAGCTTATACACATATGATATCATATGAAATTATTGATATTGATATGATATCAAAATAATCAAACATATCTTGATTGACATGAATTATCCAGGTTTCGTCTTGTTTTTTGACCAATCTGAGGTGAAGGTGACTCACCCGGCCCGCCCTCCCCTCGCAACAGCCGACCGGGACCAAGCCCCACGCGGAGAAGGCAACGTGCTTTGCTGATGGAGGATCCTGGTGGGGACCTCAGATGTCGAGGGTAACATGACCTTCCAGATGGGCGCGGCTAGGGCTAGGGGGTAAAATGGTCAGCATTTTCGAATATTTTCGATCCATATACCCAGAGGATGTGGATGAGCTATCACGAAATAGCTGCTGCCGCGGCTTCTT